AGCAAATAATTTCTCGAACTAATAATCGAATCGTATTTTTGATTATTTTCTATCAAACTCATTGTACATTTTTCTACACAGCAAAGTAAAATGTAACATAAAGCAAAAATTTCTCGAATAAATTGGAATTTCGAAAAAAGAAACTCCGTGTTAAGTTTATAATCAAATATGGCCTTTTCAGAATGCCAAATTTTAAATCAACAATTTCATTCCTGCGTCCTGCCCATATGGAATTTTTTTCAACAATTTAACAGTTAATAATTCTGGAAAAATTATCGAATGTTTATTTTGTTTTATTCTATCTTGAACTCTGTACATTTTTCTATACACCTGCGTAAGATTATAAGTCTTCAAGTTTATTAGTCTTATAAATAAAACAAAATGCAACGTTAAGATGAACACTCATAAAAGCAGCGGCGGGCCTTACGATTTCTTTAAATACCGAGAGAAAAATTTTAGAGACATGGAAGCAAATAATAATTAAAATTGATAAATTCTTTAATAATTTTGTTGCTAACTTCTCAATAATTTTGAATTGCTTCAATAAAAATTTTACAAAAATCTAACGATGTAAAAAATGTTTTGGGAGGTTGAGAAAAAAGTTTTTAACGTATAGGTTTTTGATAACTTGAGCTCTTTCAGAAAAAGTAATTTTAGGCAGTTTAAGACAGCTTAAAACAAAAATTTTAGATAGATCAGTAAATTTTTCCAATTGGTGCCGATTAGTTAAGATTCTATAACAAAAAGGACAGTTTTTTTTAATTGGAAAGACAAAGAAGTAAATTTCAGAGCTGTTTTCAAAATTTTAGAGCCACTTTTCAGTTTTTACAGGATGAAAGTAAGCCTACACTTCACGAATTTCCACGTTGAATAACCAATCCATAAAATGCATAAGCAGATTTTTCATTACCAAGTTTTTAGCCTTAAATAAAGCGAACAAGGAAACTGAGAACAAATCCACCTTCGAAAGTAACTTTTCAAGGAATACAGCTTTACGAACGGAGTAAGTTAAATAATTTAGTGCAAAAGCGTGTAAACTGAAGTAACTTTACCTGCCAGTAAATAAAACAAAAACCGTTATGAATAGAGTATGTCCGTGCATAATCTATAATGAATAATAGCCTGCGCTCACAAACTTTATTTTCTTTGGAAGACGGGAACACGTTTTATTCATTTTCTGAAAAAGGATGAGACGTTGATTCGGTTAGCAGAAACTAACCAGCATTTCCATTAAAATTGAGATAAAAACATCTCATGGTTGGTCCGATAGCAATAGCACTCTTATCTGTGCCTTTTTAAACAATATTTTGCGTCAGCACAATATTGTTTGAATGCAGGAAGCAACACAAAATCAACCATCTACCTATGGGATTAAATAGTATATACTCTCACACTCGAAAAGTACTCTTCTGGGCCATGCCGACTTTAATGAAAAAACTCCCATTAGCTTTAAAAATGTGTCAGGTGTAAGCATGACATTTTAGATTTAACTCCCAACATATCGGGTTTACAAACATTTTAAAGATTGTTGATGAACACCCGATTATTTTTAGTTAGAAGTATTACTAGAGAAAACCATTTCTATTATCGACTTGTATTGTAGTCGCAGATTCTTAACACTCATACGAACTGTCCAATTTGTTGTACATCGACAAATCGCTGCAAAGTGCACTCGGATCCATCTTTTACTCATAAAAACACCCAAAGACTGTCACTTAATCTATTGAGATTTTTGCAACTAAAAACGTAGCAAAAAACTTACAAAATAAAGGAATATTATAGATGTTAATAAGTCTGAAATAAGTTTTCTCCCAAAAAATCTTTTTTCTTTTTTCTTCAGGAAAATGTCACTTTGACTATCATCTACTCGACTCTTCCATTTAAGACATAATTTATTTTATTTTTATTGTAATGTTACATTGTTTATAACACTATAGTAACATAAAAACACAAATCATTAATATCGGAGAACAAAATTGCAATATTTCAGCTCCTCCTTCAAGTAATTTCAAGATAGCGACTCAAGCTAACCCCAAAGAGAGCTTTTAACACTCACATATTAAACCTGAGCTGAAGCATATAAAACAATTTCTAGACTTCTCTTAATTATTTTTCGACAAAGCATTTCTGTATAACAAATCATGTTTCACGTGATTGGCAACTATTAATTTGCAACAACAGGAGCCAATCTTTTAACCTTTCCAAATTTCTGTCTATAAACTTTACATTATTATGAACTATGCACACCACTATTATATTATCTCTGGTTAATTGAAACTAATTGTTCGTTTTCGAATAGAAATTATGAGTTTGTGGATTGATTCAGAAGATGCGCTTTGGGACAAGATATAAACGACTCAAATCGAATTCACCAGACTAACTCACAGAAAATAAATCATCCATCACAAGTTTGCTTCTCCTATCCCAGAAAGTGATGTTGAGTTCAGATTTTAACTCCATAACTTCTGACTAGGAAAGAGATTATGATAAAAGGAAACAATGTCCACAAACAGATTCAAAATCAGGAGAGCTTCTGATGATTTAGCTTAATTGTTGTACTTGACAAAAATAATACTCTGGAACCAGATGATTCTGAGAACTAGTTCATGCTGCCCTTCTCTTTCTAAACACTTTTAAGACATTAGAACCAAAGCACAAAATGCCTTTTTAATGCTACAAAGGGTCTGGATAACTAAAAACATTCAGAACAATCTCGATATTCAAATGTACAACGGTGAAATCAGTACTTTTGTATGAAACTTAGAAAGTAACTAAGACACTAGAGAACAAGATGGACATTTTCCAGACTAAGTGATTTTTTTTCCCTTCAATATATTGGTCAAAAAGTTAGTTACAATGACAGTCAGCAGAAGTCAGAGATCTAAGAAAGAGATGCTGAAATTGGATTGGTTACCCGTCCCTCGAATGAAACCATCTTATACCACGTGATCTACACTAACTTGAGCGAAATATCCATTACTCATTTTATATATACGTAATGCTAAAATTGTTTACCCTATATTTACTGTGAAGCCAGAAGGCCATAAATAGAGAGCAATACCGAAATTGACTTTTCGCAATATGAAAAGAAGGCAAATTCGAGCGAAAAAATTTAAAGCAGCTTTGAAGTAGATAGATTGGCATATGTCTTCATGCGCCTACTAAGCATAACGTGATGTAAAGCAACACTTTATTCCCTTACTTGGATATTATACTTATCTGGATATACTCACATATACAGAGACATTGTTTAAGTTTAAAAATATAACCATATATAAGAATGACACAATAAAAATATGAGAACTTAAGATCACACTCTTACAGGGAATAGTCTGCAGTGTTTAAGGGAAGTTTTGCTATATAATATTCTTTTGGGAGAATCTTATATAATTTTTTTTTGCTAGGTAACTGAGAAGAGCTGGGTAAGATTTTTAATGGTTTGGCAATACATAGAAATATTTAAAAGTTTCCACTCTAAAGGTAGAGCATATAAAAAGGAGACGCGCTTTTCTTTTCAACGTGAAGCAAAATGGCAACATAAAACTTAACTACTAGTTTGAGTGATATTTTTTTAAATTTTTTTTTATTATGAATTGATATGTAAAGTTCACTGTAATCGTTTGGTTATTCATTTTATTTTAGTTCTACGAAATGATAAACTTTTTAATTCTTTAAGGATGTCGTGTGTTAATGAAGACAAAAACAACTTTCGTGAAGTAAATTACGACTCATTTCAACTTCTAATTATTTTTCCTGTTCTTTGTTTCAATGTTGAATGAGACATATATTTATATGGACGACATACACCATTACTCCTTTCAAACTAAGGAATAAATATAGAAAAGCGTTATTAGAATTTATTATATAATATAAAAATAAAAAATATGACAGAAATAATTTACTATTTTTTGGAAGTGATCAAGAAAATTTTTATGTTTCTACAGAAATGAACAATATGAAATTTTTTTTAAACACTAACATTAATTCACGCAATCCTATCTTTATTCAATATTTTATTGGAATTAGAAAAACACAACTTTAAAACTAATGATATTCAGAGAAGTATTTTATTGGTTCATGTCATGAATATAATTATCCTTCATGATTTAATCACACAGAAATAAACAAAAATATGATAGAAGCAAATTATAACAATAGAATGTCAACTATTCAAAGCAACAAACCGTTTACTTTAAGTGTCGTTAAAAGGCGCATTGGCCTTTTTGGACAAGGAGAAACTTTTGGAAAAGCGTAATGATGACGTCAGATTATATTGTCTTTGGGTATTATAGTTAGTGGTAATAAATTTATTAAAATATCAAAAAATCATAGCTTCATTGTCATAACAAGTATACTGGGTTAAAATTGCAACTTTTTTACAATTTTGCGTTTCATATTTCTATTTAATTTTGCAATATTATAAAACTCGTTAAATGTTTTTAGTCAAAAAGATTATATAGTAATAATTCAAAACGCTTTTTTTTTCTAATATTTTCTTAAAATTTTGCATTCATTATTTTTTAAACGCCCGAAGTTTTACACAAAGCCTATTAAAAAGTAAATATAACTTACTTCCCGTTTAATAATTATTGAATAATTGCACGAAAATTATACATCTGCTAAAATAATTCTTACATTATTGTTTTATTCTTTAAGACACAAAACGCGATTTTTTTTTTTTAGCTTTTATTTAAAGTTTCGTAGATCTATGCTATTGATTAAAAATATAATTTCAACTAAAAAACAATAATATTCTTTTTGAAGTTTATAAAAATAGTAAAAACATATCTCTCAAATAATTAAATTTCTATAAAAATTAAGCATAAATAAATAAATTTAGAGTTAATAATTAATACTAAAAATACATAATTTTTTGGGGAGGAAAGAGAATTTAATTAAAGTAACAATTAATTAATTATACTCACAAATTACAAAATTTCAACAAAAACTAAACATTAATAAATTAAATATGCTATAAATTATTTTTTTTAAATCCACAGCATGAAACTCTGAAATGAGGCGAGGCACAGCGGCAAGTTCAAGAAGGTGAAACAAGCATCCTTTGCAATGGCAATAAGATCAAAGTGGAGCAGTGAAGAGGTGAGTTTCTGAAGATTAACCAACATGCCAGCTGAAGAACCTCTTAAAACTTATTTTATCAAACATCTACTTATGAACAACTAGGAAACACAAAATGGCGAGCTTTTGAGGGGGAACTAAGCTTTTAAAGTTGACGATAAAATTGTATTTCAGCATGTCCAAACAGAAACTAAAAATAAGTCAAAGCACTAAAAATAGACTATGCAATGTAAACGGAAATATAGCAGAAAAAAAATGAAAGGAAAGCATGAAAAAGTGAGTTAAAATATTAGTAATATTAGCACAATTGAGGTAAACGATATAGACCTGCAGGGTCAATAGGGAGAAGCAAAACGGTGAATTTGTAAAAGAAGGCAAACTGGACAACGAAGGCGGCTAGAAATAAACTAGGATGCTTATTTTTATATTTCTGGAGGACTGCGGGCAAATATTAACACTTACAGGTACAAAATTAAACGTGAAGATAGAAGAGCGCCATTCATGTTGATCGATTTCAAGATTTTGACTAGTATTTTTGGCAGCGATTTTTGATTCTTCAAATGTTTTCCTTAGGATTAACATTTAATTACTATTTCAATGATTATAATTAGTAATGATGGGCGGTAGAGATAATAATCTGCGGGGAAAGCTCTTTTCCCCTTTTGAACCAAAAATTTCGTTAAAATATTCTTATATCTTTAATGCGATTTGTGAAAAATTTTCTGTCCTTATATAGTTTTCGGTTGAAACGAAGTAAGCCTGAAATGAGACTAAAACATTAAGAGTCCGCATGAACAATGCGAAGATCCAGATCGACAAATTAATGCAATATTCTTACTGATTTGCACTTTGAGTACACAATAACACATTTTATTTTATAACCGTCGTTGAACAGCAGACCCAATTCTGGGTTTACGACTACCAATGTTCTACTCCGTAGCCTTGTAATTTGGAACCTAATCCAGAAGACAGGGGAACTTCTGGATCAAGAATTGGGAGAAATTTGCTTTCGTGAAGGATTTTTTAATGGAACTAACCCGCACTTGCGTTTCATGGAGAGGAAGACCATGAGAACCTCCCACGGATAGCCTGGCGGCTAAGGGACTCTAACCCATGATCCATCTATCACTGAGGATATTTTACGTCAGCACTGTAGTCGGTGCGAGTCGGGTGCGGAATTCGTATCTACCAGAAATCACTGGGATTCGAATCCGGTTCACCTTATTGGAAGGCGAACGCTCTATCCCCTGAGCCACCACGGCTCACAATAACACATTAAAAAATACTGTGTATATCAATAAGGAAGACAGAAAACCAAACATAGAGCAAGGCTGCATAGGAAACAGGGTTAATGAGGAGCCTCGAGGAGGTGAGTTCGTGTAAAAGGATCGGTAGAGGTCGCCGAAAGGCGATTTCTGATAAACTGCTGAAAAAGCACTAACCCCAGTCTATCAAAATTTTTTTAAGCTTGATAGAATTTATTGAGCTTTTTTTTTATTAAATTAGAATTTTTTTTAAATGGCTGAATAACGAGCGTTTTCTATTAGATTTTTAAACACTATTATATTGGTGATAATTTCGATTATTATGTTTCAGTTTAACGCTTTTATCTGTTTCTTGGATTGTGTGCATCATTTTCTGTTTGGTCTTGAAATAACAAGAGGCGAGTCCTGCATCGCTCGTTTATTACCAAATTGCTGGACGAATGCTCAAAAGTTAGTAGCGCAAATATTGCCCGCTCCTCTAGCGTTAATGAATGTTCTACACCTTATTGAGATTTTGATTAAGAACAATAATTAACACTAAAATAAAATTTTTTGGTTCATTATGTTTATTTACATATATTAAATGAAGGCATCACACAATAGGTTTATCAGTTATATGAAACATTAGAAAGTATATAAGAAGTTAGTGTAGTAGAGATATAAATTATAAAATTAAAACAAATGTTTATAAGTTATATTTCCTTCACTGTTTTACATTGAATTTGTATTTGAGCTATTGGAATAACGTATCAAATATTTTAATCAAACGTAATCTTTCTCTTCGCCAACAATAAAATTATCATGATAATAATTACCCAGAATAAAGTTTTCGGTTTATCAAATATATTTTTAACGTTTATTTAGTTCATAAAATGGTAACTATTATTCTTAGTTTTTTATGTTTTGCATTTTGGGAGCTCTGTTAATAAGCGATATATCACTATACTCTGCTGTAAGTTGAGAAAATACCATTATCTTTATGGAGAGAACCTGTTTGCATCAAAGTACAAACGAAAAGGATGACAAGCTCTCAGCGCGAACCAGTATTAACATCGCCAACTCTTGGAACGACGTTACACAGCCTTCATTTTTGCTGGTTTTCTTAAATCGTGTGAAATGAGGATAAAAACTTCTTGAATAATCAATTAACAGGTTTTAAAAATTAATAAAAATTGTATCTAAAAATTGTAACAAATCTACGTCTTTCTGTTTGCATTTAAAGAAACTGATTAAAGAATAATAAAAAATATTGTTTCTTGCAAACGATCTTCTACAGCGAAACAAAAGCAAGAATTCTAGATTTGTTAAGGTCATGTTAGCATAAGACGCGCCATTTTTAGTTGCCCAATCATATCCAATGCACTTGCTACGTCATATAGTTTTTTCCCCCAAGAACGAATGTTCACCGTATTTATCGAAATATGTTGCCAAGTCTAGGATTCCGATTTTATCTACGATATATATCGTAAAAGATAGCACGAATTGAATTTCTGCCTGAAGTGCTTAACTTTTAAAAGCTTTTATATTGTTTTGAAAGCATATTTGTATAATTTGATAACGAAATAAAACGGAGCTATGCAGCCGTGGATGATTACTTTAATTCTATACCGCAATGGTCTTTTCTTAACTTGCAACGGAGTATAATTATTTCTTAACTTGTAACGGAGTATAATTGAATAGTGTTTAATTCAAATTATCAATATATTTTTACATACATTAAAAGACTTCGACCCACCGCTCGATTCGCTCCCCAAATCCCACAGTTGCCACGACGTCATTTTCGTTTCTTGACGATAAACAGATTTTTTACAATAAAAATTATTCAATAAAAAGATTCCAAAATGTTTTATGCTATTAACATCGATTAGAACCCGATTCTATAAGGTTAAAATTTAAACTCAATCATTCTACATAATAACTATCCCCATACACTTATTTTTAATATTTTAATTTAAATTTCGGTAACTCTAAAAATTCGTTAAACGTTCCTTTGACAAGCAATATTTTATAATTTTATAACCGTCGTTGAACAGCCGACCCAATTTTTGGGTTTACGACTACTAATGTTCAACTCCGTAGCCTTGTAATTTTGAACCCAATACAGTAGACAAGAGAACTCCTGGATCAAATACTGGGAGAAATTTTGCCTTCGTGGAGGACTTTTTGATGGAACTAACCCACATTTGCTTTATTTGGAGAGGAAGAGAGGAGAGACGAGAGCCTCCCACGGTTAGCCTGGCGGCAAAGGGACTCTCACTCAATATCCGTCTAGGATACTGAGGATATTTCACGTCAGCACTGTGATCGGTGCAAGTTGGATGCGGATTCGTATCGACCAAACATCGGTGTGATTCGAACCCGTTTCACCTCATTGGAAGGCGAACGCTCTATCCCCTGAGCCATCAAGGCACTTTGCCAGTGCGAAATGTTAATTCCTAATATTGCTTTACAATTTCAAATTAGTCAATTTCTATACATTATTATTGTATGTTTGTATACCCGGGCACAGTTTTGAATATAATTTATTATTAAAACAATTATAATTTAGTTACCAATTAATAAGTGTAAAACGGTTATTAACTGTGTTAATCATAAAACGCTACATAATAAGGTAACATCATAGAACTGCTTTACAATGCATTAAAGGAACACCATTTATAGTTTTAAATTCTGAATAAGAATCAAATTTAAAAACGCAATAACAGCTAAGATTAATAATAGGTGTATAGGTAAGCACTTTTTTTAAAACTTTTATTAATTTCGTGCCGAAGACAAGCAAAATATTTGGATCATCTATGTTTGTTAACATCCATATCATGTGATTTTTCTGACGAATGAGAAGGCAAGAAACAAGAAAACCACAATTTCTTTTGTTATGTATAGAGATATATTTTGTGATTATTAAGGCTCCTATACTATCAGAGCTGACCTATCAAGCAATATTGGAGCAAACAAATTCGCAAGTTAACGTTATGTTAGTATTGTGCTTATGTTAGCTCTTTGCTCCAAAAATAGATGATAAGTCGGCCTGACTAATTCAGGGGCTCTAGTGATTATGAATGATTACGAAAATAAATTTTTTAAATTCTGAAAATTGAAATGAAATATAATTTGGAACGACAATGATTTCTTAATATTTACTCGAAAACTTAGAAATAGGTAAGTAATAGTAGAATAAATTAGACTGTTTTTTATATTCCGGGCTGTTTTTTTTTCTATAATGAATTCGACTTTATAAGACTTTACTTTTTTCCAAAAACTAATTAAAAAACAATGGGATTTTCTCACAGCTTTTTTTATTTTCAAGCTTTAAAAATATCAAAAGAGAAATTTGATATTGTTTGTTTTGCAGATTCCATCGCGATACCAATGAGAATATTTAATTTATTTCCAATAGAGAAAAGATGACAAATATGTGATATATCATTGGTATGCGGACTGTAGCTGAAAGGAGAAGGTGGTTTAAAATACAATCTAAAACATAAGTGAGCACGAACAGTGAGAAAATAGAAGCCTTCTATTTATTACTGCCACTTCGTGGACCACTATGCATATGGAAAAAACTGCCTTTTGTTAAGTTTTAAAATTCTCTATTAAAGTGTATTATTTTAAGACAAAAGCGAGTGAATATTCTGTTTAGATTTTTGAATTCCTTTTCTTCATAAAATTCTCTAAAAATAAGCACGGTCTAATTAATTTTAACTTGTCTTTGTGAAGTGGGATTTCTTATGTTACATATACGAACCAAGCTTAGCGGTATTAAGTAGCTTGTGGTCTAATTATACGAGATACTTTCTCACGCAATTAAAAATTATGCTTTGTAGTGTGAAATCTTATCCATTTGCTTCGAATGGAGATGAGATAGATCTACCTCAAATGAAGATCTTCCTGTTAGAATACCCTCCGGAGGATGAAACAACTTAAATCAAATCAAGTTCTCAGTCAGAAGACATCAAATTCATTCTTCAATCGGCTAAGCCAATTCAGAACCCAATATAGCAAGTAAAAGAAAACTTTCCCGTTCTGGATCAAAGTATTTAACATCAGATCTTTTCAGAAGACCATTGCAACACGCAAAAGAAAAGAAAATTACAGAGAAGTGTTGCCAAAGTCATTTAAAAATTAAAATTGCAAAGGCTCGTCTAGGAACTAAGATTTCTAGTTTTTCGAGTGAAAGAATTCCTATAATGGTTATGAAAATAAAAATACTGCAAATTAGTATTGTTCAAGTCGTTCTTTCGATGACTAACATACTGAGACATCAGAGCAACGTTGTGAAAGAAAGGAATGGAGACGTTCATCTTAGATTTTTTTAAAAAAAATTTTGAGATTATAAAAATTAGAAGTGACGTATTTAATATGTTTTGATACCACATTGGAACTCACTTATATTAGGGAAGCTTTTCTGAATTTTGTAGATTTGTAAACATTTTTATATTTTTGGGATAGCAATGAGTTGTTTTTGACTTTTATAAATTCAATCAACTTCAAATAATTTAAACCGGTCAAGTGTATAATAATGAGCATAATTATAACTTTCTAGTTCTTGACTTTAAAAAAAGAGTGTGACATATTAGAAACCATTCCTCGAGAAGTATAGTTTTTAACAGTATGCATATCGATAAGTACAATTACTAAAAGAAAATTCCTCTGAAATTTGAAGGCATGTTTAATTTTTTTTTTTTTTTTTTGCGTACGTCTTATATAGTATTTTTATTTCAAAAAAAATAATATAAAGAAGAGAGGGACAAATTAGGACAATAGAAATATTTCATATATGGATATATTTTTAATTCATTTTCTAAAATTTCGCTAAAATTTGGCTTATCTTTAATGCAGTAACTAGTCTTTAAAGGATACTTTTTTCTAGCAATGGTACGCAAAAAATAATTTCAGAATTGAGTTTGATTTAGGTTATTACCTAAAATTAATTGGATTTTTAAGACCATTTCTTTTGGAAGGTAGGTGGGTAATGATTTTTCAAAATTTTACCAACTGTAAAGAATTTGTAATAAGCATGAAATTTTGTACATAAAAATAATGGATTTCATGAATCCTGCGTTTATAAATACAAATAAACCTAATGAGAAATGATCAAAAGAACGAATGCATAACGCGCAATAGTAAATAGCTCCTCACTTTCAGGCTGACTCTCTTGGCCCCACTCAAACCTTTACTGTTACGCACATTTATGTAAATATTGCTTTTTTTCTTTTTTCTGAAATTATCAACAAATGAACGCACAAATAACAGGCCATAAAAATAATTCCTCCGCTAATAGTGTTCTCTAAACTGAATTATGGGGCGCAAAAATTTGTTTATTATTAATAATAAAATTTATAAATAAATTTAAACAACTGGAATGAAATAAGTGAATAAAAATAACTCATAACTTTGACCGCATCAAGAAATGTGCAAAATTTCATAGAACAGTAGATTTTGAGATATGACAGTAAAAATCACGCACCACGAAAATTTTTTGAAATAGTTCTGAATGGAAAAAAGTAACTTTTTTTTTTAAACGTAGGGAGATAAAAACAACTTACGAAGTATATTTTCTTGTTTCTACAATTTATTTTTAAAATTACTTTTGAAAGAAAAGATTATACAACGCCAAGACCGTTTTTTGTTATAAAGATGTAAAATTAATTTTATATGAAAATTGTAGATAATTAGAACAGGAAATGTGAAATTTTTATTTTTATTTTTTACCTTAAGATATTTATGTTATTTTAATTATTAGCGTATAATTTTTATACAACATGTCATGAATTGCTTGAATATGACAATAACAAAAACGTTTTATATTTTTATCAATTTCTTAGCAATATAGAGTGTTCGTCATTAAAAACAGAGTTTGCAATAAGTTACGTAGTTGTTGTCAACGAAGACACTGCAATACAGCACACAAGAGAAATTTATACACAGTCCAGTCATATCAAAAGCCAGAATAACCAAGTTTTGAAGAACGGACTACTAGAAGACGTGCAGGACGAGAGTCAATTAGGCTTTTAAAGGCGTTGTCAGAGACGTTGAGCCATGCCGACTCCAGTGTCGTGGCCAGTTACGTGGATGATGATTCATGGCGCGTATAACTCGATCGAGGTAGTCCCACAGATTCTAGATTGTGTTACAGTACGGTAAACTCATCGATACCTGCACGTACACTGCTAGCTGTATGACACGTTGCATTGTCCTAGATGCCATCAACTTGAGAAAAAATAAATCACCTATAAGGATGTTCATGGTTTGCACAGACAGATGTGTACTATTTTTTACCCATCGTGCCTTCCACAATGATGAGTGCACCCAGAGAATGTCACAAAAACATTCCAAAGACCATAATGCCCCGTCCTCCAGCCTGGACCCTTCTTGCAAATGTCGTCGGCCATTTGCTTTCAGACGCTTCACACCGGATAGACCAATGTTCATGCGTGCAATGGAGCATAAAACGTGGCTCATTGGCAAGAGCCAACTGTAATAACTCAGTCCAGTTGCAGTACTGGTGTGAAAATTCCTCCTTTCGTCGCCTATAAACAGCAGTCAACATAGGTGCGGAGACCCACAAACAGCAACATTCGATGAACCGTTGACGAAGAGACACTGTTGGTAACTCCTTGGTTTATTTAGTCGGTCAGACTTCCTTCACCTGAACACATGCATATCCGCAGGGGCCGAGCTAGCCTAGTTGGTATGACAAAAAGAGGTCGTGAGTTCGACTCCCCTTGTACAAAATGGTGATTGATGCATGCTAAATCTATCTGATTCACAAAGTCCTCATAACAAATCAATACCTCTGGGGGTACAAGATCGGAGATTGATCGTGCTCTAATCCAGGTAAAATTACGATGTGTAGATGGATGGATGGTGTATGAACGTGTCCTCCCAGTAAAACTGGCTGTATCGTATGTGTGAGGCAGAAGTCGAATTCTTAACCATAGATGGCGCCACTGGAAAACAAGGAGAAGCGCACCCCCCTACCTTAAAAAAGGCTTGTTAATATTGACAAAAGGCATACGACAACAACATCTCCGCAGCCTCATCTTTGTCATCTAAGGCCCGCGGTGTACCAAATTTGTCCCCTCGCTGATTTCGGATAGATCCATTTTTCCAGGCATGGTATACGTTTACTTGGCAGCACGCGAACAGTTCACAAAAATTAGTCTTTCCGGAAATGCTTCCACCTTTAACATGAAAACCAACAATCATGCCCTTTTGGACATAGGAAAAATCATTCTGTTTCTGCATTCTGCCAACGATTGCATGTTTTCCGATTCAGACGGACGCCATTTCTATACGCTCTACTACAATGTGATGACACCTGTCCTCTGTGATTGGTTAGATCACATTCACGACAAAAGGGTAGGTGGTGGTCACATTAATGTAACCGAATTGCGTATGTAAAGATTGAAAACAAAAGTAACTGAGAAGAGAAAGGAGGAGAGAGTGAGAAAGGAAGAGGATGCTAGAGACAATAGTAGAGGTGGGACGCTCTTCCGAGCAGGACTAGTTTTGTCGCAGCTGATATGTTTTGGATGGATATTTCTTATATATGTTTAGTTTAGATGTGTTGCTTTTACCTCATTAAAAAAATCAAGCAGTCGAAGCTCTTTGTGATAATTTAGATGTGTTACTTTCAATACACACCGATATCTATCCATCCGGTCACGACGAGTGGGAGAAAGTTTACTGCGTATGTCTATGATAATAAAATTATTTTGTCTGTGTCTCTTTCTTATAACTTAGACCCATTTGTGCTACCATCTTGAAATTTGTACAGTGGCTGAAAGGAGATTATTTAGCCCCCAATTCTAAAAAATGTTAAAAATTTCATTTAGATCATTCGGAAGAGACATTTTAAAATTAGAATTTCCTGAGTGGTTTAACGATAGCCAATGTTTTAAATTTTAAACTATAGGCGATTCTGATTTTTCAAATATTAGGAAAACATCAGTGATGACTAATAGCTTATGGCACAATTTAATCAAAAAATGAGTTCACTACTCGTTCTTTTAATTCTTTATGTCAGATAGCTCAGTGATCAATGTGAACGTGGTACCGTACGTGGTCTACGTTACCAAATTCGTATTTATAATGTTATCTAAACCCTGGTATTTACAATAGTTAAGTTACATTTTAAAAGGGTGTTTCTATAAAACGAAATAATGTAAAATCACTGGCAAATGGAATAATAAAGAAAAAATCAGGCATTAAAAAAATAAAGGAGGAAATGTACTGATTCATTTAAAGGAATTTTATTTTATTTTATAACCGTCGTTGAACCACCGACCCAATTTTGGGTTTACGGCTACTAATGTTCAACTCCGCAGTCTTGTAATTTTGAATCCAATCCAGAAGACAAGGGAATTTCGAGATCAAGCATTGGAAGAAATTTTGCCTTCGTGGAAGATTTGAAGGAACTAACCCGCAATAGCGTTATATGGAGAGGAAAACCACTCACGGTTAGCCTGATCCAATCAGTTTAGGAATTTTATTTTATAACCATTGTTGAACAGCCGACCCAAATTTGAGCTTACATTTAAAAATAATTGTAAAAAATCGCCTAACTATTATTGACGCCAATGATGCTCTATTATTTTTAGCAAATAGGTACTATTGAGGTTGCTTTAATAGCCGCTGTTTAAAGTAAATACCAAATAAATTACTAAAAGTATTTAACTTTGGTACTATGGTAATATGTTTTTTACGGCCCCCTGAAAGGGATAAACACAGGAGAAAATCGCGTGATTGTGGTAAATCTTTACTAATAGTATACTACGAGCAATATCATGTTAAACGATAGAGTATAGTTAATATTTATTTGGATGAAATGAACTTCTAAAAATGCGTTATGTTATATCTAATAAAGGAAAGCCACCATGAAGTTCTTCAAATAAAAATGACATGAATTTGCTCTTTTAGCTTTATTAATTTTATCGATATATGTCGTTCAGTTTTGTGCATGAATTTGTAGTATTATTTACTTTTCTTTACCCCATACGAAAAACTGTTTTTCCGCTAGTATTTATAGAAATGCATTTTATAAAACGTTACAGCCACCATCAAAAACATTTTACGTGCACACTTATCACCTACATAACGCAAAAACCTCTCACGAAAAATATTAGATTCTACGCTGCACATTTTTAAAAAAATATGTGTGTTACAAATGTTATTGATGAGTACATTAATTCTTAAGTTTTTTTCCTTCTTTTCTTTTTTTGACCTTCAAGCTATTTTTAGCTTTGAGTAATATAGTTTAATGTGAAAACTATGACTTTATATATATATATGAAAGTGTTATCAGAAATTTTAATTTTGCGGCAGCAACACATTTTTACAAACGTGCAATTTTAAATTAGTTTTAGAATTTAACTAAATTTTCCAATTTCATTCTTTTAATAGTAAAAAAAACAAAAAAACAATGGAAGCTGGCTTTAAAAAAAATTATAACAAAAAAAGTTTTAAATTAGTTTTAAATTTTTGGCTTTTTTCGATGAAATTCATTTATATATTCTCGAAGGGTAAATTCAATACTAGTTTTATTTTCTTAAGAAAAACATAAAGTATCGTTTCATTTAAAAATAAAAATTTTTAAACTATTTTAGTCAAGGAAATTTAAATAAAAATTATGCAAGTTAATACATAAAACTTTCCCCTCACGTTTCATTACCTAACTTTTAGGAGTTCGTCAGGCTGATCAAGTGGCCGTCAAAGTTAGCTAGTTACTACAGTTAAGAGAGAATTTATACCTCCACTTAGCATCCCACACGATCACATACTTAGGTTTTAAGCAAGAGAGCAAAGATTTTTCCGTACCAAATGCGTTGAGCATAACTAATGTTCATCCAACAGTTTGCAAGTGATAAGGTGCATGAATTTGCAAAAAGTCTCAATTTGCATTTCTCCCACAATTTAACTATGCATATTATATGTAATTCCGAGCATTAACATATTCTAGTATAGTCTCTTTAGCACTTTAGCAATAATATTAATTTATTTTTCAATCTGTATAAGAAATGTTTTCATTTTTTAATTAATATATTTATATTTTTTTATATTTCAGGGTTATTGAAACAAAAGAAATAAAATAAGGAGATGGGCATTTCAAAGTTTCGTCAAATAAACAGTCAAGAGTTTGGTCAACTGAGAAAGCTTACATAGCGGAAAACAATATCAACATCTATGTTTGTGCAATAATGTTAGTAAATAAATAATTTTTGAAAAAAAAAAAAAAATTCCAAAATGAGTTACATTTCCTTTTTTAAAATTATACACGAGGGTTGTTTTTAAAGGAAGGACCGTTTGAAAATCAAACAAAAGAAAATTTTCAAGAAGCAATTTATTTTCAGATTCTACATACGTTTCTCTTTTTTTCAACATAGTCGTCAAGTTTGTTTAAACACTTATGATACTTCTAGACTTTGAATACCCTCTTCATGCGAACTTGCCACCAGCCCCGTTAACCAAGAGGTCACGTTTTCACGTATTCGTCATAGTTGTAGTGATTGCCGATAAAATGATGTTTGAAATATCGGAAAAGATGAAAATCACTAAGCGCAAGGTCAGGACTTTAAGGAGGAGTGGTCCAAAACTTCCCAACCAATAAAGCTGGGATCTGAGCAACGGAGAGAGTCGTTGTCATAGAGTAGCAAAATTCCCATTCAGCATGGCAAGGAATTTAGCAACTTTACAAATCTGCCAGTGAATGTATGCAGCAGACAGGTTTTTCACCCGACTTAAAACACATCACTGACCGTATCTTGTGGCGGACGATTTGTTAAATTTGGGCATTTTAAAGACACAGAACTGACCGTTCAAGTTACCTACGCAGCTGCAACTGAGTACAGTTGTTCTTAAGGAATGCCGGGACACGGCACAAGCACTCGTTGCTTCGCAAGCGGCATCTATTAGTGTACACAACAAAGCGGCCCTTACTTAAAAAGCAACCCTCGTTTAATAAGTCTACAATTAGTCTTGATAATAGGTATTATGTCAGCAGTTTGAAAATTCATGGGCAAAAGGGAATCTCGCGATACACTATAATAATGCTCATTCCAGGACAGATATTTAAATGAAAGTTTCTGGACATAAAAGATTATTTTCAAAACAATTCTTTGATTTAAAATCTCCTGGATTTGTATCTTTTTCTCCCGGATCTTCTTTGATGTAAATTCGGGTAATTCTACAAATATAGTTTTCTTAAGATGCGTGTCAAAATAAATGTAGTAAAATTTAAATATAATTATTTTATATAGCCTTAAAAAGTATAAGTAACCTTTTTGACTAGTTTGGTCACACTCAGTAATATGCAGCTCATCTCTACACATGTTTTGGTAATATGATATATTAATACTATTGAAGAAATTCAAGTGAAGCTATACTGGATTCTTAACTTAAATTCATAATTCAGCGAAATCCAAAGAAGTATTAAAAGGTCATAAGCTTCTGGGTGAACTACAGTTGGATTCATACGTGATTGAGGCTGATTTCATATAGAAGTTAAAAACAATGATTCTCAACGATGTAGGATCCAATCATATTCTATTAAAAAATCCATAAATAAATTCTAACTAATTTTTTTTTTCCATAAAAGAGTCCCCATAGATGAAATTTTCCATTAGACATGTTCTAAATAAGACTACAAATGAAAGCTACTTTTATAAAGCCAATTACCTACCAGTGTTAATAAAAATCCATTTTATTTGTTGTAAGAAAAAACCTATTTAAAACATCATGAATCTATAATAAATAGAAGTTATAACAAGACATATCCAATGCTTAAACTTTGTTTTCCAGATGAATCATAGGAATCAAATCTAAAATTGTTTACATCATGTTGCCACCGTAATTTTTATCTACCTATTTGACATCTAAAAAAACTGATCATAAAAAAATCAATTAATGTATTTCCAAGAAAAGAATATTAAAGAAAAATATGTTCTAGATCTAGGTACATACAAGTTTCAGATTAAAAAAAAAAATAGCATTTTTTTTAATGATTTGGTGTACTTATGTATTTTTAAAAGGAAACAATACATCAATGCATTTATGTTGCTAATTTAGATTGAGAAATACCCGTATTTTTGACACTATGCTGGGCGCGCATCCATACACCCATACACATAATCATGGTTTATGCAACAAATAAAAATCGAAAATTCAGTAAAATTCCCCCAACTCTCAACAAACTATCATTATTATCTTTACTAGTGACAGTAAGAGACTTATATGCATACATTTGATAATAAATAAATAACACTGTTTATGAAGAATATTATGATTTTTCAGAAATTAAATCAATTTTGGCTTTTTATCCTGCTTAAAACTTATCATAACGAAAAAATTCAGAAATTTTTTATTATTCTGAATAATCACTATATTACCAAAAGCAGGAACCTTCATATGAAAAACAACTCCTTTTAATGCCAGTTTCAACTCAAGAAGTAAAAATATTGAAAACAAATTTTCTATAGCGAATATTACAAAAAGTACTTTAAGCATGTAAAAACAAAATTGAATAAGGGACTGTATGTATAATTAAAAATAATTAAATAATAAATGCATAATTAAATAATAAATCTAATTTTAAAAATAAAAACTTTAGGTAGCGTAATTTAAGAGCAAGAATCAGGAACGTACACTTTACAAAAACCTCTTAAAACAAATTTAATACAGATTTTTCAAGCATGGGTTTTTAAGTTAAATTCAAGAATTCATTATTTTAAAGCGGAATTTTTATTGCTTATGGTACATTATTTGTACACCTAACACTGCATATAATCTGTATACAAACATCAATTTAAAACTTTTAAATATGTGGCATAATATTCTTTTATTTTAGTTAAATTTTAAAACCTTACTAAAATGACTTTACAAAAAACTAGATACACAGAATTAGTGGATAAAAAAATAAATAAAAAATATGGTTATAGAATTTCAATGCAAAGATTTAGAGCCTCACAATTAGAAAACAAAAGTTAAAAAGCCTATTAATTTTACCTTACACAGTTCATAAAAAAAATTAAGGAATGAATTATTTTAAACACTCTACTTTTAAACTTTCTTTTTGCGTTGATTAACTTTTATAGAAGACGGATTTGAGAAAAAATAATCACACCCAGCCCATTATTTAGGAGATATAAATTTAAAACAAACATAGGGGGATAACTAAAATTCTAAAATATGTTCTTTTTATAAATTGTTTTACTGAGTTTAACTGAAATTTAAAAATTTAATATGGGATTACAAAAACAACATTTCTGTTTATTAAAAATTCACGAGTAGATCAGTTAAATAAATACTGCAAAAGAAACAATCTGTCCTAGGAAAAATTTTACCTTGTCCCCAGTTGAGCTCAAAATTAGCTCAATATATGAACATGCCCCCAAGGACCAATATCGGGATGTCCAGGTCTTTTAATATTGGTCCTATATAGGGCCAATATCGGCCTATATACGGCCAATAAAGAACCTATATTGGCTAAATAAAGAATATAAAATATTAAGTAAATCGAAAAACTATATGTAGGGCCGATATTGGTTGTAAAGTAGCTGCAAAATGTCGGGTGAATCGGACAATTCTATATTGGAAAATAAGGGCAAATAACGAATTATCGAGCCAAGATTCATGAATATTGGTCCAAGTTATTTTGCAGCTTGGGTGACTACATTATAACATTTCTTTAGAGGAACTCAAATTAAATGCTTAGTACTATATATTTAAAAACAAAAAAATATTTTTGAGTTAACTTACTTATATTGTTCAAAATTGCATTAAAAATTATTCCATGAATTTTATTTAAAAAAAATTGGCATGTAGAGTCGAGCATTTTTTTGTAGGTAAACACTTTAGTTATAATGTTCTAACCAGCAACCTCAGACGATGAAAACTCTAATACACTTACACAGCAGAAAATAAATATTGCTAAAGTACATAAAATATAATAAGAATCTTTTGTTTTTCATGAATAAAACCAGAAAATAGTTACAAAGGAACTGAGTAACAATTTCTTTTATTGTTTTTTCAGAAAAACAAACAAAATCTCCAAACGTTTCACTTCTCCAGTAGAACAATTTCAATCAGTTGAACAAATCATCACACAGAAGAAGACAGACAGGACGGAGCATTTGAACACTTATGATAAAATATCTACTCTATACACACATTTTTCCTCACAGTTTGAAGTGTGTATCGCATTTATGGCAGTTAAAGTATTTGAAATTCTATAGAGTTTGAAAGTGAGGTAACATAAGGTAAATTTACGTAAATACACAAAGTGGATTTATAATAAATTTACATATGAAATATCTATAAAAGTTGAAAACTATAAAACCATAATATGTCTAGGAGGATAATAATTTTTAAAAAAAATTTAGACAGTTATTTAATACAGAGATATAAACTATGCAGTAAAACACAAATATAATTTTGAAGAAATTAAAAAACAGCAATATTAATAATGAATATGGGAAAACAAAGTTCAATTTGTTAAGTTTTAAGTTAATGAATTTAAGGTTCCATAGCTTTAAAAATTTATCAAACTTTTAACATTCATAAATTTCATTATAATTAAATTGCAAAATATTTTCTGCCATAATATCATGATATATTAATTTTTTGTACATGAAATGTATAGAAAAAACTTCATTGCAAGTATTAAACCCCTTTTTAATAAATTGTCATTAATTGAAAATGTAACTCATACCTAAATTTTTCAGAAATGTTAAACTACATATAGGGTATAAAAATGATTTCCAATTCAATTATTTCAACTATAAAAAAATAAGATGGTATTTGGTTGGTTTGTATAAAAGTAGGTATATTTAATTTTTAAAAAAAAAATTGTTTACAATAATTAGAAGGAAAAAAAATTAGTACATAAAAATTCAATTTCAAATGTGTAGCAAATATTGTTATTTATGCACTTTAAATATACATCTAAAATAATATATATATTTAATTAAAAATTATAGCCTTATTCCTTCTTTCAATAGGATCTTTTTATAGCCCATAATCCTTTTCATAGGTAGGAATCTTTAAGTAAAAACTGAGATTTAAAATCCTAATTTCTGAATTTTAATCTTATTATTAAATCTAATAACAGATAAAAACAATTGCATAGTGTCTTTCTTGCATATTTGTACAGATATAACTACAAATTTGTAATTAGAATTATAATAACTCTGCTTTTAAAAGACATGACAACAAAAATGCACTTTTAAATAAAACCATGTGACAAATATGTTCCCCAAATTAAAATGCAAACCAAGATCTTTAGGATTTGGAAAAACTTTAAACAACACAGATTTCAGTATAACATAATATAAAACATAAATTTGGGATAGTTGATCTCTGAACTATAAGTCCCTATTGGGATTCAAAGGAGTTAAAAAAAATACTTAAAAAAACTCATCTTCAATATAATCAAAATATTGTGACATATTTGATCTTCGAGGTATAAATAAAAATAAATAATCATCAAATTCAAATAATACTCTGATTTCTTATTAATAAATAAAATCAACAGTAAAATTTAAGCATTAAAATGCCTAAAGTAATGTATTCAATATACACTATACAGCAAAACTTTCAATTAATTGGGGCTTGATTTCAGATAAAATGGTAAAATCACTAGAGATAAAAATAAGAGGAATTTTAATACTGCATGCTGTTACTTTTTCTTTCTACTTTTAGCTAGAAATATGCAACATATTTATTTAACCTTATGAACGAACTTATTTTGTGAAATTGCTTTTCCTTCACATAAATGTTTAATGCACATAATTTATTTAAAAAATTTAAATAAAAGAAGGAAGAAAATGATTTATAAATACAATATTTGAGAAAAATGTTAAAAACTTTTGCTGATAAAATCACTATTGAGAAATCTTTGTAATAGCTGTTATTTATGAGTGACAGAAAATTTAAGTTACTTCAATAAATGAGTATTACAGCCTAGTTTTCTCAGGGATGAGATTAGCCAAAAGGCAAAAAAGCTGAATTTCCACAATAGTAAATTTTATGCAAGCGCAACCCTTTAATAATAAATTCCAGACAGTTTAAGGTAATAAATAATGTGTTGACATACAATTGTGTACTAATCTATTATTATATAAATGATTACATTGATACTTAACATTTAGTGAAAATAAAAATTACCAATTGGAAAAAAAAAAGCTGAAAATTATATTTTTCCTCAGTTCACATAAGCGACAATTATTACTTGAAAAACTACCTGGTTTAGCAAATTAAAACTACTGAGAATATACATTAATATTTCATTTCTTTTAATAAATATTGTTATGTGATTTATAGTAAATATATCAGTAATATTACTTTTTAAATTATATTGGGAAAAAAAACTTTAACAATGGACCGAATCATTATGTTCATATTATAGTCTAATCTAACTAGAGCCCTTTGAAACATATCAATAACAGTGAAGAAAAATTGCTATTTTAGTTTGAAAAATTGCATGACAATCAGTAACTGTTTAGATAATTGTTTTTTATTTGATAAGAAGTTTGCATTTTATAGCATAAATAACAGCAATTATAAATAAAATTTTGATGATGAGTTAATTAACTCTTTTTCCAAAAAAATTTTTTTTAAATTAAATCCCTTTTTAAGTGATTGCTTTTGTTTGCTATATCTTTCATGTTTGCTATATTTAGTCGTTAGTCCATCTTCAAACATCTTGTGACAAATCCTATTTTTTCTTCTTTGCAAGCACAGAATGGCGGGTAAAAAATTCTGAAAATCTTTTCTGCTGCGAGTAAAAGGGGAGAAAATAGCTAAAATAAGTAAAAATGAGCTATGTAGTTTGAATTTTCTGTTTCTCTTTGAAAATCGGTGAATTTCCTGAAAAAGCGGAATACTTATAAAAAAATTGAAAGTTTTAGAAAATCTGATTTTTGATAAAAAAGCTGAAATTTAAGGGATGAAAGTGAAAAATGCGGAAATCCGCTAAAAAGCGGAAAAATCTCATCCCTGTTTTCTTAATGAAATAAAAACACTCTCTAAGCATTGAAAAAATACTTTTACACACTTTTTAGGTAAAAAAAAACTATAATTAAGGTAAGCACACTTACAGATTTTTTCCTTATTGTTTAATTAAATTTTTTCTTGTATACACACTATCCTACAATAATTGCTAAAAGACTAAGTTTTTGACAGTTTTTCAAAAATTTCTTAAAAGAAACTAAGAGAGTTTTTTTATAGCTTAAAAAATATTAAGGTTATGCGATTTCTCATACTTATCAATAAAGTTCAAAGTTTTTAAAGGTTTAATAAACTGTCAATAAATTACAAGCGAAAAAAAGTGCTTTTGAACACCTAATGCCAAAAAATATAGCGATAAACTTGTGTCTTGCCTAGATAACTTTGGTTACTGTATGCAATAATTGTATAAAATTTCATAAGCCTAGCTTAAATATTTATAGAAATACATTTTCTTAAAATAAATAAATTATTTTTTTTTGCTATAACTCTAAAGATATTCAATAAAATTACAAACAAAACAGGGGCAATTTTTAATTAATAACAAAATAATTATTTCAAAACTTGAAAAAAGTTTGTTACAAATTGAACAAGATATGAGCATTTTAATTAGCACTTTCATACTGCACATGCATGGAAAAAAAATATAAAAATTTGTACCCCATAATTTTGTAGATTAATGAAAGACGTTTGATATGATTATGTTCAAAATTTAAAAAGTTTCAAACAAAGAAATTTAAGCACTTTTTACAAACAAACAATAAAAAAAGCGCCTTTAAAGGTTTATAAAAAATGAAAATCAAAAATAAGTACATTTAAGTACTTTTTTACCAATCTTTTTTTCTAGTAACTTACAATGAAGAAAAAAAATATTGCATATAATAACTACTCTAGTATAAAGAAATAATAACTCAATATCATATTGAATTAAATCAATATCAATTGATTCTAGCAGGAAGGTAATATTTAGGGAACATAAAGAAAGTTTAAATTGGATTACAATATTACAAAACATTTGTAAACAATTGAACATTTGTGAAAAAAAAAAACATTTCTTGAAACTTGATGAGTCAGTTTTTAAGCTAGAAATTTTTTTTATTAATAAAACAGAAGTTACCCCTGCTTTAATTCAATCTTGAAAGCGTTATTTCCAATACAAGGCTTTCTTGCACCAAAAAACCAGTTTTTCCTAAGCTTTTTGATGGGAAATGATTGCATAGCAGGAAAATGTCAGAACAATTTTGCTCAGGAATTCAACGCTTGTAGGGTCAATTTGTAAATATTTACCTCATCAACACATACACACACATATATATATAGAAATCAAGCCCCGAAATACTGACAGAACATTTTATGTCTAGGTACTTAAATTTGAAAGCACTGACTTGAGCTAATAATAATAATAATGAGTGAGAGATCAGAATCCTTCTGGCGGGGGTGGAGGGCTAAACATCAACACAGATTCTGGTGAAGAACTTACCTGATCAAGCTCCAAACTAAGATTGAGACGAGACAAAAGATGTGGTAGCTCAAATGAAGACTTTAAATCTGGCAATGTGGGACTATTTTCCAAAGACATCTAAAAATATTGGATATAATGTAATTTTTTAAATAAAATGAAAAAATATCTTTTGGGGGAAATTTAAAAAAAAAGATAATCACATACAGATTTAAAAATTTATTATTTGGTAAAAGATGTGAAGTGCTCGCCATAAATCCCAAACTAATTCTTTTTTGAAATAATTCATATTCATAGCACAAATCTAAATATTATATACATCACAAAACCCAAATAAAAGTCTAGAACATTGAAGGTTATTTTTATTTGAAAGGTGAAGTAAAATGCAATCACTTGTGAGTTTAGCAAAAAGCAATTTAAAAAACATAATTAACACTTTGTTCAGCATTAATAATTAGTCATTTGTACCATTTGACTCAACATTTCAAAAGTAAATTGAAGAAATATCTAAAATATTGAAATATTTCAGCTAATTTACTTATGTGAAGAATATTATCTTTGCATTTTTAAATTTTTAGACAGAAATAACTTTTATCAAAAACAAATTCTAATCATACAAAACAATAAGCTGTTAGGATTTTGAATAGAGTGACAAATTATTTGTATCTGGTATTTCTGTTTTAATTTATTGATATTGCATTATATCTAACAAATAACACTTGGTTCATAAAAATTTTACAAAATTCCCCCTGATTTCCATGTTATAATTTAGTTTATAAAAAAGAAAAATAGTTGCACAAATGTTAAGTTTTTCTGTCACTCATACAAAAAATTCTAGGAAATAAATATATTTTTAAATTACAAGAATGAGCGGTATTAGAAATATTGATGTGAATAACAATTGTAAATTTTCTATTTCTTCTAAACATCAAGGCTAATCTGGTGCAATAGAAACCATTTTTTTTCCAGTTGTAAAATAAACTTCGATTCAATGTAATATGATTGTAACTGTTTTGCACCAACTGATTAAATGAGATATAATAATTAATATACTTATAACAATTAATAATACTTTTGGAAAAAAAGAGGAGACAAACACAATTTTAAACGCAATAAGGACAAATTTGTTAAACAAATATTATTTATTTTCAAAACATCGTGCGTAACCCCGGAAAAAATAAAACATACAATCATTTTAAATGTAGGCAGATAAGTCATACAACATTTGAACATACACATTCCTTAATGGAGGATTTTAAAACATTTCCAGAAATAAAATTTTATAGAGATTCACATTCCACAAGTTCAAATAAAATATCACAAGAAAACACAGATTTCTAGGAAGACAAGGGGAGGAAGAGAGCAAAGTACAAATGACTATATTTTTAGTTATTCATAATTATTAGTGTTATTAAGTTTAAACTTTTTTATGTTTATATCAACAAAAGATAACATTGAAAATTTAAGTTACATACAAATTTCTTACTTAATTTAGCTTATAGATTTATAAATGCAAAAATATTATAATTATTATTTTTAAAAAAAGGATACGAATAAAAAGTTATGACTGTAAAATGATGCTGTTGAAAATGAACACTCAAATATAATTACACTAACATAAAATATTATGAATAATAGTATATTGATTAATAAGCCTAGTTAAAAATAACTACCACAACCATGTTTTTTATGATTAAATAAATAAAAAATCATTAAAAATTAACTAAAAAAATTTTTATACAAAAAATATAAAGTACCTTGGATAGCGCTCAATAAAGCAACACAAAGTAATGATTACATTTGTTTCGGCAAAAATGTAATAATTGTAATTTACTATAGGTAGTCTTCTACTTAAAATACATTAATACTGCACAGTTTCAAACCCTGTGAAATGTGTTATAACTCAGTTAACAATTTACTTTTTGTCGTATCACAGTTAATAATTTGCTTTGAAGAAAATATAGCATCAATTATTCTTTAATAAGGAAAAAAAAAAGTTTTTTTTTCTTCCTTTTTGCACCATTATAAAGTGATATATACAAACAACTTTTTTCTATATTTCTTTAGGGTTCTTGAATAGAGAAAATATAAAAATTCTCTTTAATTATAAAATTAATGAAACAATACTTAAAACCGAGAGAACCAACTAGGGTAATCAACTAGCAAGTGAAACAGTGACAGATCACAAAATTAAAACATATGGGTGATGTAAGTAGAGTCTGAACAAGTAATGACAGTGGATAACGAAAAAGCTATCACATCGTGGATTCAAACAACAGTGACAATTTTTACGTTGAATTTTACACAACCATTTATTTTTTAAAAAATTTATCTAAAGGTAAAATTGTTTTCCTTTGTTAAGTAAAACAGTACACTAATGGAGAAATGTCTATCTTAAGGGCAACCAAAACCAATCACACTTTTCAAAAATAGACATGAATGGCTTTTGTAATTGACATTGCTTGAAACTAAGGTATCGAACAAAAGGCAACCAAAATTGTTTTTCCAATTGATCACAATTTTTGAAACTTATAGATATATATTTTGTAACACAACTGATATTACTTGAGGCCATAGAATACTATAATAGGCAACCAAAATCAGTTTCTCTTAACTATAACTTTTTTTTAACATTATAGATAACAAACCTTTTGGACTTAAACTGACACTGCTTGAAGCTGAAGAATTATATAAATAGAAATCTAAAATTGGAGAAAATAAAGACAAAATTTCTTGTAGACAGCTATAAGCTGACTACAAGGAATGAATTGCAATAAAAGAATTTAAAAATTTTGAAAATTATTTTTATGTTCATAACAAGCAAGATATTGCATATTATTAGTATGGTGTTTTGTTTATCAATAAAAGTTAACTCAACTTGTTTTTCAGAATACGTTTCCTATTAAAATATTTTATGTTTATTATCCACAATAAAAATCTAATTAATTTTATTGAAAAAAATATTGATAGTCCTCCATTTTTGTATTATTGCAAGAATATATGAAACAAAATTTTTTTTTAACTGGCTATTAATTTTTCTGTATCTGGAGCTTATTATATAAAAAAATCATACTTTAATTGGATTTAAATTTTACAATAATTATAAGAATTAATTAACATACTTTATAAACAAAGATTAAGAATTTTTATTTTAATAACTTTATTTCTGTGATTAAAAAACAGCAAATAGATCCACTAATATTTCATAAACTATTGTTTCAGTATAGATTCAAGCAATGTCAGTAATTAAAAATTATCCTTTTTATAAATATCTTAATACTGTATATGAGATGGAAGAAACATATATTCAACAGATATAATATCTTGTCAATACTAGCAAATTAAAAAGTTGCTAGTAACATTTTCATTAAAATCACACTATACATGGTAACAATTTACATAGAAACAAAATTTCAAAAACACATTAAAAATATCTCCACTGCATTTATAAAGTTTAAGGGATAACACAAAACACTTTTTTCCAAACATCTAAAGTATCACACAAATTTATTCATAAAATATCTGACTAAACGAAGCTGTTCATGTCATCTAAGCATTGCAAGAATAACCTCAAATTCAACACTCTTTACAGAGAATTGGTCATTTTAAGTAGATTTTCTTAAAATTCTTGCAATTAAATCAAGATCTGCAACTTTTGCAAAAAAAAATTATGAATTACAATTTTTGCAGCTAAAATGCATGAATCCTGCAACCTATTAAGGTACCAATTATTGCACTTAAAAGAACATTTAGGGACAGGCAAAGATTTTCCAATTAAAATATAATAGCTTAGTAAAAGTGCTTGTTTCATTTTTAAAAAGAGAAGATAAACTGGTGAAACAGCTGATGGCATGAAGTCTAGAATATATGTGATGAGATCTATTATGGCAAATTGTAGCATATTAAACCTAAGTAGATATATATCATTAGTAAATTATGTGGTGATAATGCATAAAAATACATAGTTTCTATTTCAGATATTACTCAACATCTAGAAAGAATGATTTTAATTTGAGAGAGCTGCCAAGTGTGCTTTTGTACTGTGTGATTGTGTCCTTGGAAAAAAAATCTACAAAATGAGCATTCTTTGTGCGAGTATTCTCAAAAACTCTGCGACTTCAATAAAGATGAAGGCACGCCAACATCTAGAGTGCCATTCCCCCCACCCACCCGAGAGACAAAGGCTTCACTCACCTGTCCGCTCTGGCCACTCTCGGGAAGGGGGAGGGGCTTGGCAACACCTATGCGTACAATTCCTTTCGGTGCACCCTTCAGTGCTTGCACCGCAGCATCAAGACTAGCATTCTCTAGGTTAATGTCATTAACAAACAGCAGCCTGTCTCCAGGTATCAGGCGTCCATCTTGTTGAGCAACACCACCAGGCACCAAGCTCCTGATCACTATCACCGTCTCATTAGGATTCATGGGATCCTGGAAAATAACATAAATGAGTTTCAGCAGTGATGCAACATGATCAAATACTAACTGAAGCATTACTAGATCAAAAACTCCATTCGCTTCAAAAATATACAAATTGGAAATAACAGACAACATGCCCCAAGAGCTCAAAAACAGCTCACATTTTCAAGGCTTGTTAGACGTTAATGTGAAAAAACAAAAGTGATTTAAAATATAAAACTTAAAGTTGCCATTGAAAGATAGAAAAATAAAGGTAAGAAACAAACCTATAAAAAAATAGAGTAACCAAGAGAGAAAAAAGATGAAAAATAGAACAAGAAAAGCTACAGTGGCAAATCAATCAATAATTTACACATGCCGTGGAGAGGTAGTGAGGAACTAATGTTAACAAAGAAATCAGCATTCATTGCATGTCGCGAAAGCACTCATCGAACAAACTAGATGTGCCTTAAAACCATAATTTAGGAAGCATGATAGATATGCTTGTTATCAAAAATGCAAAAAAATTATAAATTGCTACACATTATTAGTGTCTCGGGCATAAAGTCAATTTCGACACTACCAAAATTATTTCGATCCCAGTCACACCAACTCATCTAGATACCTTAGAATCTTATGAATGTTGATTCCTTTGTTAGCAATATTAGTTCCTCACCATCTCTCCATAGCACATGGAAATGCATTTTCCCCTCTCAGCGACTGTGGTTTTTGTTGTTGTTCTGTTCTCATCATTTTTTTCTCTCGGCTACTGTGGTTTTTCTAGTTTTGTTTCTCATCTTTATATTTTTCCTTTTTTCGTTGGCAACTTTATGTTTTATATTTCAAATCACTTTTCTTTCTTCCCATTCACATCTGGTAAGTCTTGAAAATGGGCAGCTGTTTTTGAGAGCTTAAAACATGCCAACAGTTATTCCCAATTTGTATATTTCTGAAACAAATGAGGTTTTTAATCTAATAATATCTTACTGCTTCAGTTTTTTGTGATTATTTATTTAACTAACTAAAACAGTTATCTGATAATATTCAGAAAAATGTTCAAACAAAGAGTTGAATAAAGTTTTAGAAGACTTAGCGATTCCTTACTACATTGAGGTGGCTAATTTCTACAAAAGAAAAAAAAATCGATAGTTCAGTCATAAACGATTTCTGATATTTTCTGCAGCTCAATTACAGATTTAAAGTCAAACTTAAGCTATACAGACCTACATGTACAACATTAATAAGAAGAGAGCATATTTATAAAATGTAACATCAATTTTAACAAAATTAAAAAAAAACTATTCCAGACATTTTTTCTTTTAAACATTTATATCAGAAATTCGTTCACGATAAAAAGCAAATAAAGATTTTAACCAGTAAGTATGTTAAATAAATAATCCCAAGAAACTGAAGCAGTTAAAAAACTTCAAAAGACTTCTTTTGCTTTAAAAAAAATTTGAATGAACTTTTTTGATCAAGCAATAAATATGTTATTAAATCATGTGGTAAAAAAGTTGGTTTATTTCAAGGAGATGCAATTATGTAATACTTTGTACTTTAGTTCTATTTTTTCCAGTGCGAAACATTATTTATATATATTATCTATACATATATTTTCTCTATGTGGCACCAAAATTGAAAGTATTTCACTATCTCAAACGGCAACAACTAAAGTGAATAATCAATCAATACTCTTTGTTTTTAACAGCCAACGACTGAAAAAAATATAAGAGATGCAAATTATAATACTATCATATAAATAAAGAATAAAGTTTTTTAAACCATGCATATAAAAAAATAGTATTAAGTACTATGCTTTAATGACACCTTTCAACAACTATAACATTTTTTTAATAAAGTCTTTAATGACATACATTGAATTTCTAGCCCTTTTTAACCCAGATATCAATTGTTTTGTGACACTAAAATATATTGAAATGGAAAACTTTTACTTCAGTACAAGAAACTTACAAAAAATTTTAACTTTTAAATACATTATATGTGTAAGATGTGTAAAAATATTTTATTTCACAATAAATTTTAAAAAGTTAAATTTTGTATCATATATTAAGAGAAGACATTTCTCACTATATATGAAATATATAACTATGCAGTTACTCGATGTGAGAAATTTAAACTAATTATTGCTTAATTATATTAAGCATATTATCAAATATAGTATTCAATAAAATTCTCAAACAGAAAGGTCTTTGTACAAAAATGACAAAAAAAANAAAAAAAAAAAAAAAAAAAAAAAAAAAAAAAAAAAAAAAAAAAAAAAATAGACCTACATCAAAGAAGATAACCCAAGGTCAGCAAAAATGTTCAATTTAATTGATGTAATAATAATAATAAAAATTATTTTACAATTCTACATAACCAGAGACACTGATGTTGAGTATTTTTGCAGGTGTAAGTCTTATTTAATCAAATGTGTTAAATAACAAAATTAAGACAAAAATGTGTATGCATGGACATTTTAATTTGAAATGCAACTTGCACATTTATTGATTGATAGATAAAAAGTTCATAAAGATATTATTTAAACTTGATAATTTAATTAAACAATGATTTAAATTATACCTTTACAAGTACTGATTTACAAGTAATTTTCCACAGACATTAAAATATTATAATTATAAAAATGTTAAAGAATTTGCAGTTGTTTTAAAAGCTTATCATTAGCAAGTAGATCCAACAGGAGCTTTATAAACACACTACACTATTGCAAGATACACTTTCAGTTCTTAGCATTTTTTAAAATTTCTTAAGAAAAACTTTTAATAATTTTAGAGTTGTATAGGTTGTGTGATTTCTCACGTGAATCAATCAAGTTTAAAGCTTTTCGAAAAAAATTAGTTTTTTTTACTTCATTTTCTTATGATAACTGTAGAAATATTCAATAAAATAAAATTTTTAATTAATAAACAAAAAATATTATTTTAAAATTTGAAAACAGTGTGGTTAAAAATTTCCCAAGATATGAGCATTTAATGTAATCCTTTTATACTGTGAATTTGCAGGAAAAATTTTTTTTTCGTGATTTTGTTTCGAATCATATTTACTAACTTGGTACCTAATTATAATTTTATAGCTTTTTTTCGTAACTTATAAATATCTTAAAAATGTAAAAAGTTTCTTGTATTATTTTTAAGTAGATTTTGTACTTTTCTTAAAGAAAGTCCTTTTAAGTCCAAACAAAGTATAAATATAACGTAGCTGAAATTAAATCAGAATTGACTTCCTGAATAGTTTTTTGTTTCAGTGAGCAGTCACTATAAAAATAGGTAAAAGTAGACAGGGATCTGTCTAGGTTTTTCTGAAAGGTACCTATTTTGTGAAAATTTAGACATAATTTGTGAAAAATTAAAAATTATATTAAAAAATCAACACAAAAATATGGATTTATCGTTTCTTAAGGGATACAAAAATAAAATTTAAAGAAAAAGTATTTTTTTCCTAAAGTTGAATTTGTGAAACTACCGTTTTTCCTGAATTTGAATTTGTGAAGGTACCGCTAAACGGCAGTAAATTCGGCCTGGACAGGCCCCTGCTAGATACCGCAAAAATTAAAAAGAAATATTTTTCTTCAAAGGCAGAAGCAAAAATACAGCAGTTGGGATGTTATTTAATACAAATAATTGAAGTACCACAGAATCATTAAGAAAATTTTATGCAGGGTGCATAGCCAAGTCTTTCAACAAAAAATAAGCACATTTTAAGTACTACGTACATTAACAAAATGCAAATATAATTTTTAGACTTTACATGATCATGATAAAATAACTAGTTTCTGACAAAGAACTCTTTTCTTGATTATATTAGTCATCATAACAAGATCTAGAGATTTTTTGATTCGATATCAGAGGATGGAAAATGAAGCCTGAAATGGAGAATATATCTTACAAAATGCACATGAGAGTGCAAGAATCTCACTGAACCTAGCTTAGTAGACACATATGCGGACTCGCAAGTATTACATCAAACATGTAAAATGATTGGCGCTTTCATACGCTACGGACCGACGGTACGCTGAAATGGATTGTGGTTAATGAATTATGAAAATGTTAAATAGAACAATGTAAAAATTATGTTTTTTGCATAATACATGACGAAAATGGATATAGTAAAAAAAATCTCATTTTCGAAAAGGGAAAATTAAGAACTTTTTAAAAACACCCACGGACCGGTGACCAGTACTGAGTTTGGTCGTAGCGCCACGGGGGTCACCGGCGAAGCCAAGATTATTAAGACCTCACTGAATTAAAGGCGTCACGAATGATTACAAAAATGAACTATTCTGTTGTAAATAATATTTCATCAAAATATGCAACGCATACTGAGAAAATCAGTTTGGCCAAACGGGCAAGCCATGTAAAATTAGCATGGCATTCAACATGTTAAGCACTTTCTTTTTAAAATCGCTTAGCACCATGTGTTATTTTTGAATATCATTGTAATAAGATACAAAAGCAAGATATACCTGATAGTCAAGTATGCTGAAACCTAGACCCCTGTCTCCCTTCATAAGTTCGATGATTTGAGGCTCACTGCTCCACATGGCCAGTCCAGTGAGTGGTTCAAGTGAACGAGATTTTAACTTAGAGAGTGCAACTTCCATGGGAGGAGAGGAGGCAGCTGTTCCTATGGCCAGGGAACCATCAGACTTTGCTTTGACTAGTCTCTCAGAAGAAGGGTTAAGCGATGTAAGGCTGCCACCGAAAGGTCCAGACAACATGCCACGCCCAATGAAGTCTGGAACTGATGATAGGTCGTATTCTTTGTGGTACGGATGAGAGTAGTCGCCCAAGGACGGAAGAATCTCGTCTTCAGTGACCAGCAGACGACGAGCGCACACCATTCTCACATGCATTGGTAGTTCCTTTAGTGTTGAAACTACACCTTGGTGGTCCATTCCCAACAACTTTTCTCCGTTCACCTATTAAGTTTGAAATTTTAGAACTTTTATAACACTTATAAAATATTTCAAAGTCTGATGAAGAAAAAACAATATAAGAAAAAAGTATCCTGAATTTTGAATATTTATTCATTTAAATGACATAAGTAATTATATAAAACATTTAAATATCACAATTTTTATTTAAATATGAAGCAGAGTTAATATATCGAAATAAATTGTAGAAAGATGCAACAAACAAGTCTGTAACTATGTGAGAGCTTAAATTTCCATACAACTGTATTTGATATGATGAATATCTTATTTAACTGATTAAGCAAAACGTTCATTTTTAAAAAACTTTAGTAAATCAAGATTATTTTTAATGCTGTTGATCTAGTTTATAGGTAGATAGATCTCAAGTTGTGTAGGTTTTGAATCAGATTAACTCTATTCATAACAATGTATCAGCTAGGATACCATCCCTTTCCAAAAACAAATAAAAAAGCAATTGTTCAGCATAAAAGTTAAATCCTATGCCTATGAACAATGGAAGTTTTTTGAAAAAGATTTCATAACTATGCAACAAAAAAAATATTTATTATGACTTGTTGTCATTGAAAACTAATTCCAACGTTTTAAAAACACTTTTTGGAGTAGAAATAAAACAAAACAGTAAAACATTTTTACAATAATTAGCATATTACATGTTAATAATTTTTAAACAAGAAAAATGGTAAAAAATTTCCAATGTTGATTCTTTTTTTAGAAGCTTAGTCATTAATTTGCCTTATCAATTTGACAAGAGGAGTTCTCCTAGTTATAAATAGCTCTCATGGCTATTCAACATCCACAATTGCTTCATAATAATTTTTTTCCTCCAAAAAATAAACATATATAATGTTAAAATCAAATGTAAATAAAATGTTACATCTGATTTATTATTGATTTAAAACATCCCAACACAGCTTTGGTTCTACAGATTTAGTTTCTAATTGTACTAGGATCGGATTGCATAGTAACCATTGAGACTTCATCCACAAACTCGCATTTCAAATTCTTACATAATTAATTTTTGATTACTATATCTATAAAATATTTTAGACAAAAAATATTATTTAGCAAACGTTATTTTTTAATATTGCTTCAGAATTGTAATAGTTATTTTATATTCATTTTTTTTAATTGCATATCACTAAACGCTTTTATGCACAATTTATTTCTTCATTTTTTTTTCTTTTTCGCATGCCTGTTAAGGCAGTGGGGGTGCGATTGTTCCTGTTTTTCAGTGGCGTCATCTACGGCCAGGAATTCGACTTCTGCCACGCCATTCACACAACCACAACCCGTTTATAGGGTGGGTCACATTCACACACAAAGGAGAAAGGACATAGAACACACAGGGAGAGAAAGAAACATCCATGCCTTGCCCGGGATTCAAACCAGAGGACCTTTCTGATGCAAGGACAGTTCCCTCCTGCACAGGCCAGTCGGTCAATTTATTGAAATAGTAAATATATAACTTATTTACCAAGTTATAATTATATAAATTAATATAATTAAGAAAATTGTAAATAAGTGTGATAAATAATTACAATAAACACTTTTATTCAAAAATGTTACACAATAAGGAAATATTGGCGTATGTCTGAGTGGCCGAGCGGTGAAATTTATTGCCCCGGTAAAGCAGAAGTTCTGAGTTCTATCCTGCCAGAAAATTTAAATTTGTATATATATGTTGCGTAAACTTTAATTTACTATTTGAATGTTTTCTAGAAATTTTTAGAGATTTCTATTACATTATTTCCTGTTACTTATTTATTTGTATATAAGTTCATGTATTTCAAGTAGAAACGCAGTTACCTTGTTCTATGTATATCAGATGTGTTCAATAAAACAGCGTAATGAGTCAATTCTGTTTCTTTCTACGCAATAATATCGTAAGATTACTTTATAATATAATCTAGGAACCTTTAATTAGTGCCTTTAATTTTGAATAATAATAAAATAAAAAAAGTAATGATATTAAAAAGAGATGATAAATAAATATTGATAGTCAATATCAACAAATGACAAATCAATAAATTATAAACAGGCCGGCCAGGTGGCCGAGCGGTTAGCGTGCCTGACTAAGGAGTCAGTGGTTGCGGGTTTGAATCCCACTCTGAGCATGGATGTTTCTTTCTCTCTCTTTGTGTTCTATGTCCTTTCTCCTTTGTGTGTGAATGTGTAAGTGTGACCCACCCTATAAATGGGTTTGTGGTTGTGTGGCGTGGGCGACACTGCTCCACAGCCGTGGCTTCGCCACAGGTGCCCACTGGGTAACGAGAAGAGGGTAGCAGTTCTGGCACTTTCTGAGGCCAATGGACAATAGTTCCAAGTGCCCGCCATTAAAAAAAAATTATAAACAGGAAAAAATAGTTGTAGCTTATGTTAATTTTATGCATCCTTTTCTCTGCATCTGGCTGTATAAATCCTAATAAAAATTATTTTATTATCAATAATTTTCACTTATGAATTTTTAAGGTTGAAATTTAATTTTGAGAGTAAAACTTTACATAAGAAAAAGTAAAAAACATTTGCAATGACAAAAAAATTTAAATGTTTAATCTACTATGTACTTTCTATGGTACTTTTTGCATGTTTTTATTTTTTAATTTTATTATATTTCATATTTTGGCCCACTTAAAATTTATGAAAATATGTTATCAACAATTTCAATTTTCGTTCAACTGTTTAGCTTGCAAATTATTTTTCAAAACAAAATTTTAAATGAGTAAAGAAGAAATTTTTAACTAGGAAAAAATTAGCTCTCCAGTATGAGAAATCATTTTAGTTATACTAATAGAAAGTTCTTCAACAAGTTAAAAAAAAGAAAATGAATAAAAACGAGGTTCAGGAACTAAGAACAAATTATGTGGAAAAACAACTATTATAAAACACAATATTCCAGGGTTTTAGATTACAGAAAACAATATTTAACAATCTTTCATATTATGAACATTTCTCCTTTCATTTGCCATACTACACACTATTTAAAATAAAGTTTACGCTCAACTAATGGCCACTGCTGCTTTCACAAAACCTTGCCTTGTAAAGTTGAGTTTCTATTGTGAGTTAGCAAAATACCACAGATATTAACAAAAAAACTAATAAATGCTGGACTAATTTCCACAAAACAATGCTATGTCTTAAATAATCAGATAACTGCAAAATCTTAAAAACAAATTCCAGAGAATTCCAGCTAAATGTTTTACCTTTAGAATAAAATCATCTAAGAACAAAGGAATTTTCAAAAGAAGAAAAACATGACTTATAAATTTATTGAATCCCTTGAAAAAATTTCATTATTTCTAAAAATGCATCCTTTAAAACCTATGAATTGACATGTCGATTTCCACATGATGGTGAAATATCCACTTTTGATTATCAATGTGAAGTGATGCATATTTTACGAACTTTTTAAACATAAATCACAATCACCTACAGGACAGGAATTTAGGTGATTCTGTCATTGTCATTCTTCCTATAGGAATATAAGATGTCTCACATTGGATGTGGGGTAAAACCTAAAGAAATAGTAGCGTAAAGAATTTCTTAGAGACTTTTGCTGAATCAAATGACTGATTGCCAAAGGAATTACTTTGCTTTGAAAGCACAAAATTGTATTGCACTTATTTTTGAAGTAATTTAAAAACATGTTAAGAAGGAGAAACTAAAAATTAATCGCTACATATGAATGAACAGTTAAAGTTAAATATTTTAATGGGTAATATAATAATATTGCATTCATGGAATAGTAAACAGAACTTTAAGAGAATGTTCTTATAATGAAAATAACACTACAATACAAAAAAGTGTAGAATAGAAGTACAAAAAAAAGTGTAGATTGTAAGTGGAAACAAATTCTTCAAAAACATTATTGATGAAAAGTAAAAAATAAAATCAAAATTTCACTTTCCTATATTTTTCCAAAAATAACAATTCTAAGTAGAATTATAAATTTAAAAACTCAGCTGATTGTAAAATAAATTTCATTTAACATTATTTTCTAATATGCAGAGGCTATATACATAAAGCAACACTAAAGAATTGTAAATTTCAGAGAAACTACACCTAACAGAAAACACAGAGTATAAATAAAAGAAAGTCAAAATTACTTCTTAGATAATTACAAAAATATCTTATAAGTATTAGAAAAATTAAACAATAACATAGGTTTGAATATTACATTGGCTATAAAACTTTTACTTATTTGATATTTAACTCTCATAATGCTACGCTTAGATAATATATAAAACAAAACGGGCTGCTTTTAAACATTATGAACTGGGTAAGAACTTTTACAAAATATTATTGTAAGGTATAATTTTCTGACATAAAGAATTTTATTAAAAATCTTTATCATTTTATAAAACTTCATTATATATTATCCCAAATAAAATATAAATATAAAAATACATTTATATATCATCTCAAAATCAATGGAATTTCTTTTCTGATCTCAAAGTTGAACAGAAATAAAAAGTTAAATAAATCATATGAACAAATTTACTGTTCCATATTTTCATTTTAATTGCACTTATCAATTTATGCTGGTAACATAATAATTTAGAGCTCAATTTTAGTTTCTTAATAAGTAAAGCAGGAGAAAGATTTATTTTTAAAAGGAAGTTTAACCAAAAATACAATGCTCATAGATTCAACTTAATTTTTTTTACTCAATTATACTACCTCCATTTTTTACTATTTCATTTTTTTATTCTCTTACTTTGATTTCTAAACATTTTATGAGTTAATGTTTTAATAAAGGACTTAAAACTCTTATATTCACAAAGACTGAAATTTATAACTTAGTATAGAGGAAGATCCAATGAATTATTTGCTCCAAATGAAATTTTCAAGAATGAAAAATTTAGAAATCAAAAGGTTTTGACAGGATGCATATGTTGTATTACATTTTAAAAAGACTCGCAGTATACATACAAAGCTTGACTGAGTACCAGTGAGCAGGTCAAGCCCTTTGATGCAGAATTTTAATTAAACATATCTTTCATACTTTATTATTTTGCATTAATTTAGGTCAAAATAAGTAAAAATATTATATTTAGCAATTTACTAATTTATAGTTACGAAATATATTATGAAACATAGACAAATAGAACAGATCTTTTTCTGCAGTAAAGGCAAAATCTTCCAAACATAACTCACCTCCAAAAGATAATTTCTAAAATTTGAACTGATATGCATTTATTTAGGTCTAAGAGAAACAGTTGTTCATAACCGAAATTTCGATAATTTATGAAATCGCTTATTGATAAATTTTTGAATATGAATTAAAAAAATTATTTTTCAAAATTTTTTTTTCCGGATTTTATATTAGTGCAAATATAATTTTGATAACCTAAAAAATTTTTTAGTAACTATTAGACTGTTTTTTATAATTTAAAAATACCAAAATATATTTTTGTTTGCGATTAGAGCGTCAGAAAAAATATATATAAGGAACACTGATGTCTCATCTGCATCAAAGGGCTAGAACCATATACAAAGCATTCATTTGAATTAAAAACAAAATATTAAAAAAAAAGTCTGTCTCATTTGGAGCAACTTCTACACTCAAAATAACTATTGCAATAGCATATGAGAACATTCATAAGAGTATATTCAAATAAATGCTATCATAGCAAATTATTGTATTTAAGGTGTGCATGAATGCCTTTTCATGTGCTAGTTGAACTATAAAAAATTTACAATAAGACATATCTTGAAACGAAAGAAGTTTACAAAGGAAATTAATATATGTACTTCTAGTAGTTCATCTCCTCCATTCAGCTTTCCATTAACACCGACTGGCCCCTCAGGTAAAATGGATCTTATGTAGTGATGTGGCCTTACTTCCTGACCATCTTCAATATCTACAGTGCCTTCTAAGCTAATGCCTAGACCCCCTCCTTCACGAAACTTTGACAATTGAGCAACCTGTGCAAACAAAATTGACAATCAGTATAATAATATAAAACTTTTTGGAAAAATTCTTCAATAGTATTTGACATTTTTTAACACCACAAAAAAAGTATTGACATAATCTAATTGCTATATTTTAAAAACAATCATCTTTGTTCATTTTTTTTCTTTTTCCTAAGTTAAAATGTAAGTGAAATCTGCATTTCAATAAGAAAGATGCTAAAAATGGCTTTGAAAATTTACACAACTTTACTACTAGATAATAATTTGCAATATAAGAACTACATTAATACTGGGATTCATTAAAATAAAAATATATAACTTAAATTGAGAAAGTAAACAAGCAACTTTCATCAAAATGTTTTTCAATCATTTTTCAAATTTTAAATTTAAAATAATTGTATAGAAAAAAAAAAAGAGAAATAATATTAATGAAGGCAATTTTCAGACAACAGAACAACAATTCTAAGTTGTGTAAAATTTCAAAACTCATTTTAGGTACAGCTTTGACATATATAATTGGTGAGATAAGTCACAGGATTAGTTGTTCGACCCAGCAAAAACGTACAAAGCGCAAAGTGAGAGGTAAATGGTGAAAATAACTTTATTGCCATCTTGAAAGATGCGGTATTGCTTCTAGTGTATTTTTGCCACTCTACATTGACTTCTGACTTAACTATCTAAACAAATTATCTAATGTTAACAAATTGCTAAATGTTTCCCATACATTTCTTTACACTGAATTGAAAGAATTGAGTCAAAATGATAAATAGCTCAAAAAAGGACAAAAGTTGCATAGATTTTTATGTGAAACAAGTTTTATTTTTGACTTATATATTACAAATCTACTTATTACTATAAATAGCATAATGTTGGAATTTTCCTTTATTCAATTTAGTTTAAATTTGGCATGCCAAGTTTCTATTTACTCTGAAAGCAACTTCCATAAAAACTTTTTTCAAGCAAGGTTAAGGAAGAAATAAATAATCCTTGTAATCTTTTATCCTTGTTAAAAGAACAATATTTATTAAACAAGGATTACAATGAAGACAAGAACTATTGAATTGATGCTACAATAAAGTGAATACAAATTTGCATGCTATTTTATTAAGCTGCTTATTAAGAGAACATTAAAAAGCTTTCTAGATCATAATGGCATAAATTAAATCTCTGATTTGCTTCATTTAAACATTTGAGTAATATCCATTTTAGCCCTTAGTTTTACATTTTACCTAAATTTTATTTTCTCAGCACATAAATTTATTTTCAAAATCAAGTTAAAAAAATCATTTAGTGCTGTAATAAAATAGAAATTAAAGTGATCAATTAAATAAGTTTAATAACTACAATATTAAAATATAATTTTATTGTAATTATATAATATATTATATTATAGATAATTATATAATTACAAACAATCAATTCTTTGAAATATTTTAGAATCCTTTCAAATCTAGTAGTTTAAAAGCAACAATCTTAAATTTGATATACAATACGTATATTTGGTTCTAAGATATCATTACTAAATGTGATACTATTATAAATGTGAGATTATTAATTAAAAATATCCAGGTATTCAATTTTTCCTTTTGCATAAATTCAAATATTCATATTTACAGAAATTTTGCTGTCATAATTTTAACAAGCTATTTGATTCTTCAGCTAAACAATAATCAATGAAATTATTTTCACATTATTGATTTAATGACATTATTGCGCACAAATTTTCATGAAATTTAGTGCCTATCTTAATCAGACTCTAGTTGTCCTTTGTTACAACGGAAGAAGTAGCAAAAGCAATTGGTGGTAAGAGAGCAGAGAGAATAGTAATAGATCTAGCTAACTAAATCAGAGAAAAATGTAATAAAAAAATGGTTTTATTAGACCATGATTATAAGATAAAGTCAATGGCTACGCAAGAATCATAGAAGCAAATAAAACATAATACCTCAAAACCATAATTACAGGTATATGTCAGAAAATCAAAACAAATGAGGGATACTTCATTTGACATAATTCCAGGTTTATGTTAAATAAAACATAATTAAAATTATTAAATATAAATGTCAGATTTACTCAAGAGCTATTGTCAGTGTCATAAAACCAATAACATGTAAGTAAACTAAGAGTGGTTAAGCATACTAACTTAACATATTTCTTCTTATGTAACATAATAGAAAATCCATGCATAGACATCGGAGGGAAAAAAAGAATAACTACAAAGTCTAATTTTTAAAATAAGTAAATAAGTTTTTCTTAACACTGTTTAATGAATTAAATACTATAATTTTCATTTATCATAAAAATTAAAGGATTAACAATTTTGAGATTAACTACAGTGAACAAGTTATTGCCTTCATATCATTTCAGTTTTGCTGCATACATAAAATAAAAAAAGAAAAATAAATCTTACAACTTAAAATAATATAATTTTCAACAAAAAAGTAATTATGCATGAACACCAAGTCAATTTAATTATAATCACTCTCAAAATATATTATCTAAGTAAATAATATTATTATCAATTAAAAATATAAGCATTATTAGTTTGGAAGCTAAAACTTATTTGAAATATTTATAATAACATAATAAGGTGACAAAATAAATCAAGACCATAAACATTTCTAAAAAAAAGAGTGTGTCTAAATGTTGCAACTAACAATAAACAAATGCTAATTTTCTAAATGCACAATAATATAACAAATTTATGAAAAAAAAGTACAAGGTCACTTTAACAAGCTCTATAAATAAAAATATGCAAATTTAAATAGAAAAACTTAAAACTTTTAGGAACAAAAAGTAAAGGAAAAATTGTATTATCAAAATATTTAGCTACTCCATTTCAAGAAACAAGAAGCTGAAAGACACAGAGCAAAGATATTTTGAACAATGTTACAGATTTCACTTAATTTTATTCAAACTACTATTTTAGTCAATAAGTTGTAATCAATCACCATTTTCATATCTCTGAAACCCACATTATTAAAGATATATGTTTATTACAGATATTATGTATATTTAAAACACAAGCAAATGACATGCTTATTTAAAAGGCATGAAACAGAAAACAACCTTTATTAAAAAATAAGTAATTCAATAACCTCTAATGTAGTTAAAACAATATTTTTCTTACCACTATTTCAAACTCAGGGCCAACAATTTTACTCCATTTGGCTTGAATAGCTGCCTCTACTTTTGGGGACAGTGGCCTTGCTACAAAAAATAGAAAAACATGATTAATTTTACATATACATTTCATGATTAACATGTTTATAGAATTTATATATTAGGTATAAAAACCATTTACGTTAAAATTACTATAAATTTAGATAATAGTACAGAAAAACTTACCTACTATACTTACAATAAATAAAAAAGTTTGTATTATAATCTTTATTCTCAATCTCTTTTATTTGTAAATAGCATACATTCTTTTATTTGTAAATAGTATACTATTAAAATTTTTTGTGATGAAAAATTTGAAACTGCATTGCAGTTCTTTGATTTTAGCATTGAGTTTTTAAAATGTTAATCATAATCAGAGAGATCTATTTCCTACAAAGAATATCTTATACTAGAAATGAAAATTATAAAGAAAAATAAGTTTATTAAATTATACTATAATATTTTTTTATAAACAAAACAAATATAAAAAATCAGTGTTGAAATTTTTACAATTTACTAACTAGGTATTAAGAAAAATTATTAAGTTATTCTCAAAAATATATAAATAAATGAAAAAATAATGCATAAAATTAAATTTTAAAACAAACAATATTATAAAAGCAATATCTTCAAATCATCGATTTAAAACTCAGCTACAATAGATTATAAATTTATTTTAATATCTTATTTTAAAATGGGATGCCTAAAAAACTGTATTCAAAAAAGGATAAGCTGAAAAAAACTTGCATTCAAATAAATAAAAACGACACAAATTTAAAAAAAAAATCTGAAAAATACTTTTGGCAGGACCATGTCAGGGAGAAGAAACAGAATTTATAATTTAAAGCAGGCTTGAATATTATTATTTTCATGCATTCCCTCAATGTACGTTTTTATATTACATATTTTAAGCATAAATGTATGTTTAGAAAATATTACAATTTATTTTTGACAAATATATCGATTCCATGCATCACATCTGGAATCGCTTGTCCATACATGTCCAACTAAACTTATAAAAAATGATTGAAATAAACTATTTAATGCTACAATAGCAGCATTTAAAACATTAATGACATAATCAGATATTAAAAACTTACATGAAAAAAGAGAAATACCTTATTATAAAAAAATGTTTAACATGTTACGTTAAATTTGTAAATATGCTAAGAACACAAAAGAAATTCTTCAAAGTGCTTTTGTTTTAATTTTGAATGGAAAAAAACTTACTTGTTTTGTAACAAAAATAAGTAATTTAAAAACTAGGTTGTTTTATATGTTTACATATAAAAAAGTTTTAGCATTTATGATTCTTTTTACTCATTTTATAACACTGAATAAATTTGAAACAGCATTTAATAACAATTATAAGCATTAAAAAATTATGTAAAATAAATAACACCTAAAATTAATGTATGTCTATATTTTAATTTCTTATTCTCCGGAAAATAGGGAGGAGAGCAAGAACAGTCTTCTGCAGCAGCCTTGTTTGGAGTATAACAATTATACAACAATAGTTGATTAATATATAGTTTTCAATACATTTCTTCATTAAAGTAATATTAAGCTTTAATGAAATGAAATTCAAGTCAGTGTTACTCAATAACTAATCACTGAAACAGTAAACTATAGATTAAAATCAAGCATGGGAAGGATGGGTAAAAGGCTCACTCTAAAATTTTGCATTATTTTAGAACAGGAGATTTCGATTATCTTATTTTCAACAACTAAGGTTCAACATGTTATTCTGAACCTAACTCAAAAAAGTAACATAGTTTGTTGACAAATTCAACTATCTTTAGAGAAAAACTATCCCACATTGGAGCTAATTGGAGGAGAGAGGCACAATAACCTCCTGCAGTTATCCAAATGGCAAAAAGGATTGAAACCCAAGACGCGGAGAGATACCACTGTCAAAAATTTACACTCAAAATATGTGCGCCAGAACAAAATAACAGAATATACATTGACCAGTCATCACTGAAATTCAAACCTGCATTGTTACATTTGAAAAAGCATACTATTTCCAGAGTCCTGCAAACTTTTAGTTTTAATAATTTTCTAACATAACTTTTAAAATAATGATTTATTTTAAGATACACATGACATTTTGTTCATATAAAACAAACTACAAAGTAGCCAAATTATAGCCAATTTGCATATAATAACTAATTAATGCATTCAAACAAAATGCTTCATGTCAATATAATAATATCTGGATCCACTTCCGTCAAAAGTTTAATCCAAAACAGTAAAAGGAAAAATAGATTTAAATAAAATAAAAAAACTAGTAAAATTCACATCTAGAGTAGGTTTTAAGTTCAGCACTCTTTACAGCATAAAAAAAGTGATTTGTTTTAACACCATGCAGATAAGAGGTTATATATAGGATTTACAAAATTTTTAAAATTTACACTCTTACAATAAAAAGCATATAAATAATAATGTAAACAACAAAAAAAACATCTTGTTGCCACTAATGCAGAAGCTATAGAATGATTTTAAGAGGCAAAACATGTTTAAAATTCTTAGAATTTAGTTTCAAAATGCCTTAAATTCTTGGGTATTTCCTAAACGCTAATTTTTCTATTTAAAAGCATGAGGGAAAATAGTATTTTAAGCAGGGAGGCCACGAGTTTTAAAGTTTTGAATATCCAAGTCAAGAAGTTAATAAAGAAAAATCCATTTATTTATATGCTATATTTTAGACCCCAAATTCAAATGTAATGATTCAAATAAAAATAAAAATTAACTCTGGCATGGCACACACGTCAAAGTACTCTGTATTAATACAAAAAATTACATAGTTTCACAAGTTATAAAACTCAACTTTTTTTTACAGTAGAAAAGTTGCACGAAAAAAAATTATCAGAGATGCAAAGATAACAACTTTATCCAGTCACATATTGACAAATGCAAATTATCTTTATATTATTGGCAAATCAAAAGGAACTGTTATTAAGGTGTTTGTGCCACTTTTAACTAAGGCTTAAAAAATGGGCCTAAGCATCGGATAGAAGAATACGAAATTTATGGTCCTGACCATGACCAATCAAGAGTCTGATAACTCCATTGGTGGTGAATGGTCACACCTTTGAAAAAGTCACCGAATTTAAATACCTTGGAACAATTGCCACCAAAAAATCTGAAAGGAATGCTGAAATTGATCAACAACTAATGCTGGAAAACAGATGCTACTTCGATTTAAGAACCAACTATGATTACAAATCATTGGGAACAGTAGGTATACAAAAAATATACAACCAGCTGTCTTCTATGGCAGTGAAGCATCATCAAATCAAATAGAATAAGGTATTTGGATCACTACTTAAATTGAAATATTATTCTGCAAAACTTTTAACCTTCAACGCAACAAGTGGCATTAGAAAATGGAAAAGGCCACCACTCAAATGGCTTGATGATGTTGAGAAAGACATGAAGACATTAAAAGTGACTAAATTGACACAATATATATCTGATAGACACAATCACGAATAAAATAATTCTTCATCGGAATTGCCCCGGCCAGCTCTGGGCTGAAGAACAAAGAAGATGAAGACATGTCTTCTTCTTGGTTTAGATTGTCAAGTAAACCACACATAATCAAAATAGTACAAAAAAGAAATGCCCATTGTCAATTTTTCAATATCTGAATAAAATTTTGTCTAAATTTTCAATATATATAGAGGAGTTAAATTTGTAAGAATAATTAATGTTAAAAATTGCAAGAGTGTATACAATATTTAAAAGAAAATTGGTTATGATTAACACAGTAAAACAATAAATTTGGTTAAAGCTAAAGAGAAATTTTAAATTAGAAAAATTATTCTCCGGCATCTAAATAAACAAAGTTACCCCCTGAAACATATTTATCAACCTACTAAGCATATTAAACGCAAAATATATATTAAACGTCAACCTGACGATTTTTTCTTCTCATAGAAATATCAACTTTTTTTCAATATTAAATAGAGAAATAGGGTAAAAACATTCTCAACATACTGGAGGATAGAGAAAAAAAACAAGAATTGCTTAATTGCATATACTTTTAATTTTTTTCTTTAATCATCATGGAAACAAGGATTTAAATTTCATTAAATTACAAATACATTAATGTTTTCATCATAAAAAAGCAATTAATAAAAAATATCATAAAATAAATGAAACTCTGGAACAAATTATACTTAAAAATTAGAAATAGAGTTTACAACATGAATATTAACAATATTTAACATTATTAATTGAATATAATCATTTTTTGACATAGTAATGTATAAAGTAAAGCAGTGTTTAAGAGCATACATGAACTATATTATTTGTGTTACTTGATTAAAAACTTCACTTGCTTCAAAAATCTACAAATTAGTAGTCAACATGTTTCAAGAGCTAAACAACAGGCGAAAACTCACAACTTGTCAGACAGGAGTGAGATGAAAGAAAAAAAAATTGAAATAAAAAACGCAAAGTTGCTAAGGAAAAATAAAGGTGAGAAACAAAACTAGAAAAGAAAAAAACAGTAGTAGAGAGGGAAAAAAATAGGAATAACAGAACAAGAAAAACCACAATGTAAATCAGGGTTAAATAAATTTCCAAAGGGCATGGAGAGGTGGTGAGGAACCTAATGAATCAGAATTCATATATCAGAATTCATTCAAGAGAATCAGAATTCATATGAATAAAATGAGATTTTTGGAAATCCAGATGAACTGATGTCACTGGTGTGGAAATAATTTAGGCATCATTGAAATTGAAACTATGTCCAAGATTTCAACAATGTTCAGCAAACAATGATTTCTAGTACTAATGATGACAAACGTATCTAGAGTGTTCCTTTAAACTAAATTTAAAAGTGGGTCTAATTTGTCTGATGTAGCCAAGGTTGCAATTACAAGGAATGTTGTAAATGTCACAGCAGTTATCAAAAACTAATAGGATTGCTCAGACACTTAAATTTAATTTTGTTATCAGGTCTAAAGATTGCTTAAAAACTAAAATGGGAGATGTTATTAGAAATTTTACAAGAATCAGGACAAAAAAATGATAAAGTAACAAGTTCTCTGTAAGGATTTGAAAAAGAGGGGCATTTGGGTCCAGTGAGTTTAGCAAGAACTGAATAAACTATAGAGGGTTAAATCCATGGTTAGCAGCGGAGACAGCAGAGGAAATTAAGTTTTATAATTTGTAAATTTTACTTTCATGCAAAAATACCATTCAAAAATATCTATTTAAAATAATCAGACCAGCATACCAGAAAAATTTAAAAAAAGAAGGGAAAAAAAACTAGTCGCAAAATTTCTAACACGAAAGTCGAAAACTCACTGCCTTCCCTTTTCAATAATTTCTGTTAGAGAATCTCTGCTTTGTTTTCAGAGTATAGAATTGGAAAAACAAAGCAACGTTTTCAAAATTCCTCTATAAACTTTACAACCAGTTTTTTTTTTAGTTTTATCAAAAAGCTAGTTAGCTTATTTCACAACTAACAAAAAAATTAACACTTTTGAGAATAAAACGTCTTAAATTTGGATTAAACGTCATTAAAATTGCAAAAGTATGAAGAAATTCAGAATTTTTACCATAATCGTCATCTGATTCATGAACTTGGGCTTGAACAGATGGAAGTGAGGGATAACTTAGTTCACCTGTAGCTACAAAGGAAGAGAAGGAAATTAAATTAAAATAAGTCAAAACACATTAATAACATACATTTAGCTTTTTTAAATACTGTTTAAACCTAGACTACTTGAGATTACAGATTACAGAATAAAAATTGTCTATTTGCTTAAATTTCTTGTTTAATTACTTTTCATTTATTTATTTATAAACGATTTAGTATCAAACTTATGATAGCAAATTATATTTCAATTTTTGCCTGCTAACTCCATAATATTTTCTTTTAATATCTGATCACACTTTTATCCTTTAAAAATGGCTCAGTGTCTTAATAATGCAAAAGGCAACATTTGAAAATTGAATTTTTGTCATCATAACTGGTAAATGGGTATTAATATTGCTACATTAGTTTATCTTGTCCTATTCTACTGTGCAGTATGTGATAAAATGCTTAAAAGGACTTCATATCAGTGTGATCAGATATTAAAATTATAAAATTTGTGGAAAAAAATTCTGCTAAAATTTCACATGGCAATCTTCCACGAGTTCTCAAAGCAGCTTGATAAAATGGGTGTTCTATCAGCAGACAATGTTTTGTTTTTACGAAACAGAAACTTTAGGCTCTACTTCCCAAAATCAATGATATATAGATCCCTAATGTATCAATAATGTTTTATTGGCTGATGGAAACAAATTTAACATATTGGATTTTGATGTAAATTATGAAGCAGAAAAAATGACAAACTTTATCCCTAAAACTTAGTTGGAATAGTAAAGTATAGTGGTGGTGTCCTTGTGTGTTGGTGCATATCAGCATCAGGATAATGTAATTTGAAACTTATTGATGGCATTATGAATCAACATGTTTATTTAAATATTTTAAGATGCAATTTACAATTATGCTCCCAAAATTTGGATATTGGAAACAACTTTGCTTTATATCAAGATTATGGTGAAGGAATATTCAGTGTGCCAATTTAAGTGGTGATGATAGGATATCAGGTGTGGGTGGAAGTTAGTAATATGGTAAACTGGTCCAATTGAAGATAGTGATGAAAACAGAAGGTGATGAAAATAATACTTGAACCGGATCAGAATTAATAAAAAGCTTTTATTTAATATATTTGCAGAGCTCGAGATACCAAACATAAATATTATCCATTAGATTTTCAGTTGAATCAATTTTGCATAATAATATTAATAAGGACAGGCCATGGGAGACAAATCCCCCACGACCTGCGTAATCAAAAGTCAAATTAAAAAGTACATGTAATTTGTTCCCAACGGACACTGAAGCATGGATAGGAGATCCGAAATTGGCGAATTATCAAAATATAACATAGCCAAAACAAAGCCAACCAGCATATCAATATTGGGTTTAAAAGAATACCTTGGTGATTACGAGTCGCCAACAAATCTATGAGAATTATTACAACCATGCAACTGAACATTTAGCAGTTGGAAATTAGAATAAAAAGTTATAAATAGATTTTTGTTTTCGATTAGGAGCGACAGTGAATTAATAAGTCTGCCAAGTTATGAAATAAAAAGTATCCGTTACACTGATCTATAGAGAAGAAAAAATATTTTATATTCGTTTCAAAAGATTAAGTCTTTGGTTTATTTTAAATATAATTCTATTAATAAAAATAAGCTTTAGTAATAAAAGATATTTAAAAGAATAGGAAATAAATATGTAATGCCAATTGTGGCATCACAAAGATTACAATTACAAGCACACATATCTCACTATTCATGTCTGATGTATCTTTAATTGACCACAAGCTTTTTGCACACCAACTCAATTGGCATTCATATTCATATGTTAACCCAATAAAGCATATTTGAAGACAACTGGGAGTTAGAGTATGATAACAGGATATTAAAACAAACAAAAAAAAACGAACTAAAAACAATAATAGTGAAAAAATGAGCTTTAATGCAGAAAATACAAAAACAGTTACATTTATTTACAGACTTTTAAAGAAATTGTTGATGCAAAAGGAAACTCTATTAAATTCTAATTTAACAAAAAAATTAAATATTTACTAATAATAGGAGGAAATTTTTTAAAGTATAGAATGGCTTTTGTGAGATGAAGTTATTTTTTTAATATAGATTTCGTAAAAATATACGTTTGCTCTGTTTTTAAATATTTCATGCAGGTATACTAAGAATAGAATACATTTCTTAAAGTTAAATATTCATACTGAAATATTCATTGAAATTAAAGGATAGAGCCCTATTTCATTGAAAGTCATAAGTGTACTAACACTTTTGAGAATCACTGTATACACAATTCAATATATAAAGCAATTTTATACAGTATTTCATCTAAACAGTGCTCTTTATAAAATTCATTGAACATATTTTCGTTAAACCAATATCAAATTTCAAATGTTTAAATAATGATTGCTTTGGATTAGCATTATTATTTTAAAATATTCAGTATACAAAAATGAATGCTGCAAATGCAAAATTGTCAAATTTTTTGTTGCATGATCTATAGAAAAAAAACTAGATAAATTCTTCAAATTTTATTCTTTTTTGCTTTGTTTTTTCTAATTTGAAATCAAAATATTAAAAAATTCCAATCTAACCACATGGCTTTTATTAGTTTAGATTAGTTAATTTATTTTCGTTTTTATAACAAGGAACCTGTACAGTGCAGAACAAAAAAATCAAAGTTTTGTTTTCCTTATTCCTAATAAACATATATGAATAAAATGCTTTTATATTTTATGTGTATACATCATTCAACATGCTTCTTATGCACTCCTTAAACTTTGTTAGTTTTAAGGATAAAAGGAGAAACAGATTCAGAAATATTATCTTTGGAATGCAAGCAACATTTACCAACTTTCAACATTGTAATTACAACACAATTCAAATTTTGAATCAAAAATCAAATATTTACCAACAAAACAGTAAAATTAAATGTTAACATACAGTTGGTTCTTAAAAGAATCGTTTTTTTCTTTTTTAAATTTGTATTAAATCGAGAAAGTTAGCATTAATGCAACAATTGTAATGGTTTGTCGACAAGCATTGCTATTAGCAATTGTAAGAAAATGTGTGATTGGTTGGCTTTGCTGAAAAAAGTAATTTACTGATTTCATAGGAAGGGAGTACAAAAGCTTTCAGAAAAAGAGTGCAATATAAAATCGATTGTTATTAAATTATAACCAACTAATTTTTAGCGAATTTTATATAGCTAAAAATACTAAAATATTTTAAATCATTATGTCAAAAGGAAAAACACCTCTGAAGCATCAGAATTTGAATGATAAATGGATTATAAACAGACAGAAGCAAATAGCCTAACCCTTCTTCCACCTTCACCACAATATTTGCCTTTCCTAAATTGCAGAGTCCCATAGTCTCCAAAGAGGTCAAAGGTATATTCATTCATTTAGTAACTAAGGGAGAGCTTCATGGGGCATTCTAGCTTAACAAGGTTATAATGGAGCAAATTTTAATGCAAGCAAAGTATTTCGAAGTTGATGATATTTCAACTATTTGGTGATGAATTTCCATCTAAATAAATGTGTATAACGGACGATAAAATAATTTAAATTTAGAAAATTAGTAAATAGTTTAAATTAGTAAAATTGAAAAAAAAAAGTTCTAGCTTTTCTTAAAAATTCTCCGATTTTTCCAAGTTTTTATCCAAATTTTCCTGACTTTTCCAGATTTTTTCTAGTATAAAAAATTTCCTCATAATTCCAGATTTTTAAGGTGGGTGGCCACCCTGCTCACAGTCTTGTATTGATATACTTTGCTTTGGCTATATGAATACAATATTAGGAAGCACTCTTTCTTGAGGATATAATCGTGTGAGCTAATGGCGAGATTATATCTTTTCATTATTTTGTTTTCGGCTTTTTAAATATTTTTAATAATAATTTTTTTTAGAAATTTTTCTTGTTTTTTTCTTTTCATAAATCTTTATTATAACTTTTCGACGTAATCTCCACATTTTTTAATATATATAGAATTTGAGAAACAAATATACAATAATAATGAAAATTGAAAAGAAAAACTATACAATATAAAATTCCAAGCTGTGACAGCACCAAACTACTAATGACACAACTAGAAGAATACTTGAAGAAAAATATTTTAAGATGAAATAAAGTAAGTTATTACCTCATAGGAGAACTAAAAAGATTTAAAGAGCAACAGAAAACATGAAATAACATACTAATAAATTAGGAACCAATTTCTCAAGTATTCTTGCTAATGTTTTTTTTATACTTCTTCCAAAAAAGAAAAAAAAATGCTGCAATTTCATTTGAATCACTTGAGATTTATTGATGACTATTATTTTTTAATTGTTTAGATTTTATTAATATTGCTAACACAATTTATGCAGAGGAAAATTATCAGAGGAAAATTATCTAATTTAACTTCAAACTTTCTTGATTTATTCATTACATTAGATTCATCTAATGATCTAATTGATGTTTTAATAAAACGAATTATTTTTAATTTCCTGTCAACAAGTTAATTTTTTGGAAATTTAATATATTGATTATCATCCACAGAAATGTAATTATATCTCAAATTAATCACATGAAATTTATTTGCAACAATGATATACTTATTTCAAAAAACTGTAAAACTTTATGTAAGCTTCTCCTGGATCATGACATCCTGCTTGATACCTGATTCATAGAAAAATGCCTTCTGAGGCTAAATAATGCATGGTTTTAAGCTAAAGAAGGAAGCCCCAAGCATTGAAGGTTCCGTTGGATTACCTTGAAACATAATCGGGTGCCTGTCTATATTTCAATCGGTTTACTAATGTTATATTATTAAATTTAATGTTTATACAGCTTTTTGTAATTTTTATTATTTTTAATGCTTATTCTTCATCTTTTTACGCATACTCAAACCTACATACTTGTTAGAATATTCGACCCTACAACTTTCTAAATTCATTGTAAAATTCTGTTTCCCATCTGATGATTCTAAGCACTTCCACTTCTATTTTTAAGATTAAAGTATATAGTCTTCGTCCGACTTGGTGTTGGTTTTTTTTTTTCCTTGGGGCAGTCGGGGGTATGATTTTTTGTGGTAATCTAATACCAACCACTGAAACCGCTCCAACACTGGCTGCAGGGTCTTGATGAGCTACCATGGCAGCTTCATCAGTTACTGGTTGATGAAGCTCCCATGTATGTCAGTGCATAAACTTTAATTTCTTTTTAATATTTTTTCCTTTTTGATAGTTAGGTTGCTATTTCCTGTAGTGTTTCTCACAGAGTGATATTTAGTACGTAATTTCGTGTTAATGGTTTTGATCCTTTTAGTTCTCTTATGAGGTACTAACTCTTTTTCTTTTATCTTAAAATATTTTTCTTTATATCATATCATATTATATATATACATATATAAAAGAATTGTAGAAGTTTTAGGAGGACTATGACCCCTCCTTTGTTTTAATTTAGTGATCAAAATTATTGTAATTTTTGCTACAAATGGCAGTGACACTAAAACTCTTTATAATATTTACTATTATTTAAATAAGTTTCTAGTTTTTAATAAATTTTGCAAATTTAGCTGAAATGCACAACAAACTAAACACAATTTTAGGTACTTAGGAATAACAATAAATAAAAGTAGGGGGACAATAATTACCGATTGCCATTTGAAGTTGCTGATATTTTGCTCCTCTGAGGTACCTTGCCAAACGTAGTTTTACAGATTTACCCGTGCTTCTCAAAACTTCAACAGCATCATGATTGGTATAGCCGTGTAAAGGGCGACCATCAACCTTAAATACAAAATACCATCAGAATGTTTTCAAAACGAACTAAGTTAGAAAAGTTCATTATGCAGGGTTAGTAATGGCTCAAAATAAAAATAAAAACATTTTACAAAAATCTAATAATAAATAAAAACATAAATAAAAATTGGGACATTTTTGGTAAAACATGCACTAGACCATTTTTAAAAAGGGGAAAGAAAGAGCAAAATAAAAGAAAAATTGGTATAGCCGTTTAAAGGGAGACCATCAACGTTAAATACAAAATGCAATTAGGAAAAATGTCAATTTTTTTCAACACAAAATAAGTTAGAAAAGTTCATTATGCAGGGTTCATAATGTTTGAAAAAAAAAAAAAAAAAAAAAAAAAAAAAAAAAAAAAAAAAAAATCAGGACTTTTTGGTAAAATACACACACTAGACTATTTTTAAAAAGGGGGAAGAACAAAACAAAAAAATAATAAATAAATAAATTTAAAGAAAATTAAATTTAAAAAAATTGGTATAGTAGTTCAGAAGGCGACCATCAACCTTAAATACAAAATGCAATAAGGAAAAATGTGTAGATTTTTCAACACAAAATAATGTAAGTTAGAAAAGTTAATTATGCAGACCTTGTAGTGGTTCAAAATAAAAATTAGGAAGAAAAAAAACATCATATATATATATATATATATATATATATATAACAGAAATTTTGATACAATACACACACCAGACTATTTTTAAGAAGAGGAAACAAAGAGATAAAAAAAATATGCAATCGACTGCTTTGAAAATGTCGTTTTGCGTTTTGTATGTTTGCAACCTTAAAGGGAGATGAGAAAAAACATTGATAACACTTAACGTTTTCAAATAAAAAATTTAAAGAATACGCTAATGAGATATGAATTTAAAAAGTCGGGTACGCGTTCAAACAGTACGAAATCTAGAAATCTTAATTTTCTTGACTTCGGAAATAGATTCCTCAAAATAAAAATAGTTCGAAATAAGTTCAAAAGAAAACTGATAATTATAGTTATTTTCATGCAACAATAAATTACTTCAAAACTAAATCATACACAATCTACACACTAAAGAATAAATGCATACAAAACTATATGATAAGAAAACGTAATACATTGTAATCTGGAAATAAATATCCAGAAAAAAAATTACATTGTTACGCAAAATAAATGAGCACCAAAAATTTCGATTTTGCAATAAATGAAATGAAGACTAGTACTGTAATTTGACGCACAAAAGAAAAAAAATGTACTTACTCCTTAAAAAGGTTAATAAGTTTATCTTTAATATTATTTTGCAATAAGAAAAACAAATTTTCGTTAGCAGAAAAAGTTTCTTTTTAGAAGATGGCCAAAAGTCTGAAATAAGATTAACATCTTAAACTATTTAGAATTTCAAAAATTATTAATTTTTGAAAATAGATGAAAAACTAAAAATCTGGAAAAATAAGAGCAGAATACTTTGTATCAGGAATATGAGGACAAGGTTTCCTGGAATATCAGGACAAGTACAAACCCTTAATAATGTGTAGAAATAATAAAAAAATTTCGAAAGAAATCTAAAAGAAGCCTAGTCAATTAAAAAATGATCTTGAGTTCTAACTTTTTGAAAACTATCACAGGATAATTCAATAAGTTACAGAGATCTTTAAATATGTTTCCATGAAAGGATTACATGTCCTTATTGTATGATATGGACAGAGTGCGTTTATTGAGAAAATAACCATTAAAGTTAGTTAACGTTTTTTGCTGACCAGCCTGTGTTACCAGCCTGTCAGGTTATTGGCTTTGCACCAGAAAGGCTCTGAGTTCGAATCCGGGAGAAGGCATGGATGTTCTTTCATCATCTGTATCATCCATCTGTCCTTACTGTGGGAGCAATGCTGGCCCACATAATATGGTGCCCCTGAAAGAGTGGCCAATAAATCTGTCCTTTGGTCATTCTCCAGGTGGACATTCGAGAAAAAGAAGTTAGTCAACATTTTCTAGTAAAAAATTGCTAAATGAATCGAAGTATTCATAATGATTTATTAGAGACAAGGATTCAAAAGTCGATTTAGAAAAAGTTTGAAAGTTTATTAAAAAAAAACATAACTTCAAATTTATTACAATATACACTGAAAAAGGTGCCCCTTGCACCTTGTAATGGCATATTTAATGCATTTAACATACCAAAGAAGCTAGCTAAGTATGTAAACTTCAACAGCCAAAGAATATCAAATATATAAGAGAACAAAGAAAATACAAAATCAAGAAAAAGTAAGTTAACATTTTCGAATTAGTGACAGTTCAATAAAAATGTGTAAATTGCATGGATCTTTGGATCGATCCATGCAGTTTTATTTTAAACATTAAATATTCATTGAAATAAATAATAATAAAAAAAATCGAACCTTACTTCTGTAAATTATTATAACGCAGCTAACAAAACCTCCAGAATGCATTCCTTGAAATTGTTAAAAATTTATCTATGGATCTATCAATATAGCTTATTATAAAATAACATGCAGAATGTATTTTCAGAAAATGTTCCGAATTTATCTTTGGATCTATCCATGCAACTTCTTTAGAAAAAATAAATATTAATTGAAATGGAAGAAAGAACATGTTTTTGAAAGAAATATGTTCTAGTTCAGAATTATCTTTGGATCTATTAATATAGTTATAAATTTTTTAATGAAGATGCAAATAATTATAAAGTAACTTGCAGAATGTATTCCTTGAAAATGTTCAGAATTTATCTTTGGCTCGATTTGGCTCACTTTTTTTAAGCATAAATATTTATTCAAATTGTTCAGAATTTATGTTTGCATTTATGCATGCAGTTATTTTAGAAACAATTAATATTGAAATGGAAGGAAGAACATTAAAAAAAAAAAAAAAAAGAAGAAAATAAAGAGTATTTACCTCAATTATTTGATCATTTACTCTAATCTGACCGCACATATCAGCTGCGCTTCCCTTTGCAATGCTTTTTATAAAAATTCCAGAAATTTCTTCTGAAATAGAAAAAAAGGAAATGTTAAAAACAAATGGATTATAACTAAGATAAAAAAATAAAAAAAAGACACGTACATGTTTACTTCAAACACACATCAAGATATACATACAAAACAACATTATAATTTATTATCCATTCAAAATATTTCCAAACCCATAACTTTGCATAAAATCAATTTTTCAATTAAGCGGAATTTTTGATGAAAATATTTCTTCCCCCCAGTGAGCGCAAATAAAATGAAACTAATTTGCCTATTTGTCAAAAAATTCACGCAATAATATAAATATTTAAATAGGTTTAAGTTCAGGCTTGAACTTATTTGTTGAACAAACTTAAAATGGGCAATAATAAAATAAAAATGACTATAAAATATTTTTAAAAAAATAAAGTCAGCTTTAAAAAATCCTGCATAATGTTGTTCTCACAATGCTACATCAAATTTCAATTGAGGACAAAAAAATATATACTACGACGGTAAAAAGTAGTTCCACTACCTCTTATAATTTTTTTTATTGTACGCTATAACTGTAAAATAAAAGAAATTACAAAAGCTTGTAATAATATACCACACACGTTTTAGTTTGATACATATACGCCTCATTCAGATTATATACGTGAATATATATTTCTCCATATTATTCTGTAAAAAAACAAATATGATTGAAATAAAAAATATGAGCTCGTAGTTGAAATAAAGTTTCATAACTACCTTTAAGGAGCAGCTAAATACTCGCAATAAACGTATATGATACCATATACTAGATAGCCATATCTTAAAACTAAATACAAAAATATTTCGCCATCCATTTAAAACTTCCTTCCGTGAAAGAAAAATAAATTGACACTGCCATATAGAAGAGACTAACTCAAACATAGCAACCATTCTACTGCTTTTTTGAAGGAAAATGTGGGAGAAGTTATGGCCATCATAAATCGGCCATATAAGTTGGAGAAATATACTGACACCTACGGTAAAGGTCCATCACTTGCTTAAAGACGCCAGAGGAACTCTTTCAAAATGGATATTTTCCACAAAAATTTATTATCCAAACGCGATGGGTATATTAAGTAAGCCTTCAAGGGAAGTAGTTTTTCTTTCCTCTAGTATACATAGTATATATTTTTTATTTTTCAAAAGCTGAAAGGAAGTACAATACATATAGTCCCTTAAAGTAAGCAATATCACAGCGCTTAAAAAAATCACCATAAAATTTCTTATTTAAAAATAATAAATATTATATTTCGAATAATCATGTGAATTAGAAGCTTCGACAGAGACTGTTTTATAGTCAATATTCAAAATTTAGGAAACTACTTAAATTACATTAAAATACAAGATTATTGGGACAAACTTTAAGGGGAAGCAGGGGACAGTACAAGGATTTATTTAGATTTACATAGCAACGCTTGGTCGGAAATGTCTTCATTCGCCGCTAGGTGGTGTTGTTCACAATTAATTGATGGAAACCGACCTGCATTGCCGCGGTCATTTGAATTGTCATTGCCCGCAGAAGAGTATGCAACATTTAGCGAACACCGAGCTGGCAGATATGAACAGGATGACAGAGGTAAATGCACAAGCAGCAGAAAGATTCTATCGCGAAAGGTAACCACAGAGAGATACACCGGACAGTCAGATGCTTATTAATTTGCAACGCAATTTGCATGAACATGGATCAGTACGAGGCAATGGGCAAAATGAGGAGAGGGGACACGACTGACTCGAACTTTCAGCATGGTACAAAATGTATTGGATACCGTTCGAAGGAATCCGAGCTGTCGTTACTGCATTTCGTTCGATGGCTTATCTCCCCAATCGTAAAATTTCTTGGTGTATTTTTTTTTCTTCAGAAATTTTAATTGATTTTTTTAAATTTACTTCCGAACACAAAAAAATGAGAAACCACCAACGTTCAGATATTGATGCGAATTGTGGGGAGACTTGAAGTTGGCCAATCTCAAATCTTTGTAGAAAATTCAATCAAACGCCCTGTGTCGTGCGCAATTTATGAAAACAATTTCAGCAGTCCGGATTTGTCGAAGAAATATTAGTCAAGAGCCGCATCGGCCAACGAAGATCTGTATTTGTTCATAGAAGGGAGGCTTAACAGGGATGCTAACAGCTTCTTAGCTAGCTTGTGACCACTATGAGGCTACAGAAGGCAGAGTTTCACGGCTTACTGTTTGAAGAAGGCATCATGAGAGAGGGCTAGTTGCAAGAAGACCTGCTGCTTGCGTCCTGCAGACTTCTACTAACAGAAGAGTCCGTTTAGGTGGGGATGACCATAGAGATTGGAGCATAGCTCAATTTCCCAGATGAGTCCCACTTCAGTCTGACCACTTACTGTTGACGTACTTTCATAAGGAGAGAACCAGGAATCCATTGCCGGACCTCTAATGTCTGAGAAATTGACCATTACGACTGAAGTTTACTGGTCTGGGCAGGCATATGCTGGATTCTCACACAGTCCTCCACGTCTTTGAAAGAGGTACTGTGACTGGTGCGTGAGGTATGGGGATGAGATCTTGAAGATCTATGTTGACCCTTTTAAGGGTGCAAGGGGTCCTGATTTTATTTTAATGGATGACAATGCGAGATCACACAGAGCACATCTGGTCGATCATTTCAGGAAAATTAAGAAATTCGCCAGATGGATTGATCAGACAGATCTCTAGACCTCAACTCTACAGAGGATCTCTGGCACGCTTTGGGGAAGGCATTACAACACGCAACCAACTCCGAGAACCAGCCAGTGTCTGAAAACTGCGTTACTGAGCAAGTGGGATAAACTGTTACAAAAACCCATAAATTAATTATTCCCAGAATGAAATCATGATGTGAGAACTGTATACCTACCTGTACGTGGCCCATAAACCCTATTAAGCCATTTTTTTTATTCAATTCAGTAACTACTCTTTGATATCATCTGATAAGTGTTACGCACAATCATGCGTGTGTATTATTACTGTTGAATGGTTATTACTTTTGTATTAAACTATGTTCAAACAAAATTCTCTTAATTTTAAACATTAGTGTATTTGCAAAAAATTTTCGGACGCAGAGTTGCTGCAGATGACTATTTTTTATTACATATAGCTAAGTAATCACCCTATATGAATAACAATTAGCCAATTCAATCAACTTAGAATTTTTTTTTTCTAATTTAACCATTCATATCTCAATAGTTCCGATTTGGAAAATAAATTAATGCATCAGAATACATCATTTGAAATACATAAAAAACAGTAATAAAAAAAATTAAAAAAAATTATTGAAAAAAAAATTTTTTTCCACTCTAACAAAATTTAGCAAAATGTCAAAATAATGATTGTTAAATTTTTTAACATCGTGAAAAATGACAGACTCAAATACTAAAAAAAATTTCAATTCAATCAATCCAATTTAACTAATTCATTTCAATTTGAGTAATATTCCTAAAACAAACGTGTGCCAACTGCAACAAATTAAACTTCAATTCTAAACATCACCTAACTATCACCATGTAGTAGAAAAAAGTCGAACAATATATGTATATTAATAATGATACAGCATTGCAATAAATGACGAAATCGTATTTCAAAACTTTCTTGTGAAAATATATATGCTTTTTGTGTTTGTTGCAGATATGCAAACGGTGACATAAATGGTTAAAAGTGGAAGTTAACGTAATAGCAGTTGAAAAATAGTATGATAATCTGAATAAGGCTTAATGTTTAATAAACATTTAGAATGCTTCATGCTAAAAAGAAAAAGGAAAAAAAATCTTAAAAAAGTTGATGTTTTGCTTTGCGAATTTTAACTATGTCTACAAGTCAGGAACATTAGCCAGAACAAGCTGAACAGAAATTTCTTTGAATGCATCAACCTAGCTGAAGATGCTAATATCAGACCTTTGGCTCACTTTTTTACTTCTGATGTTATTCTTACACTTAAAAACATGTACTGAGCAAAAACACACAGATTGTCGAAACCCTGTGAAAGAGCAACCCCCTGTGGGTCTGATCAGGACGAGATTAATCCGAGTAATTTTTAGTGTAGAGAGCAACCCGACACGAGCGGTAATAACCAGGACGGTCGGGTCTCTACTGTAACAAAGGTACACTTTTTTGTTAATGAAGTTTTTTATGATCTTAACGTTATTCATTATGAATATTTGTCAATTCTTCCCATTTTTTGTCCGTGTAATTTTCGTTTCCCTACTTGTAAATATGTCTTGAACTTTTCTAAACATTCAGTTATTTGTTACTTTTTACCATGGCAAAGTGCCATTGTTTTTTTCCCTACCTTAACATGTGCCATTATTTGTTGCATTTTATGTAATCCGTCTATTGTTTTTGCTTATGTTATCATTACAGGATGACTGGGAAAAGGGTCATTATTGGCCTCAGGAGCCCAGCTAGACCAAACAGACCAGACAAGACCTAGCCAGAACAATCATCAGGTATAAAAGCATGTACACATGCAAGCAAAATATTATCATTCATGACGGTATTCATGACGGAATGACGGTATTTACGTATTAACCAGTCGACCATTTTTGTCAAATCTGAAAATAAATTTGGAAGTGGTTGAAATTTAAATATTTTCTCATATTTCAGCATGCAATAAGTTATTTGTATTTTATCAATGTCTTTATAATAAATTATTACGTAAAAATAAACTTGGGAAATACCAAAATAACTTATGCACGAGTATGACGAAAATGGTTGAAGGTAACAAGTACTGGATTAGAAGCGATAATAAATTAACCAGAAAATTCCAATACATACGCAGAAAAGAGGGATTAAGGAAATTTATATGTTCTTATCTGGATTAAGTAAAGACTAAGCCGAAACAGCTGCTGTTTCGGAAGATCCAAAAGAATATTTTTCCTGACTTATTGTGTACACATTTAATATATATGTTCACGAAGCTAAGAGGACGACTATTGTACCACTTAAATCGTAATAATACAGTTTTATGAAAAACTACTATTCCTTCCTACTTCCTTTAAACAC